CATATCTGCAAATATCTGCAACTTTTATGCAGATAGTTTGCAGATATTTTGACAGACAATTACCATATCTGCAAATATCTGCAACTTTTATGCAGATAGTTTGCAGATATTTTGACAGACAATGGACATATCTGCAAATATCTGCAACTTTTATGCAGATATTTTGCAGATATGTTGACAGATACTCAACATATCTGCAAAATATCTGCAACTTTTATGCAGATATTTTGCAGATATTGTAGATCTTGTTGCAGTTATGCTGCAGTACTGCAACAGATATGTGACAGATACTTGCAGACATTTTACATATATATCAGTTTGGTAAGGGTGCATGGTTTCCTATTTTTGGTCGACCTGTAAATCATTCATTTTCACGAACCGTATACGCTTCGTACGGTCCGTAAAGCCATTTCACGGACCGTACGGATTTGTCGGATCGTGAATCGTCTTACGAGCCGTACGAACGGTACGATCCGTCGAACTGTTGGTAGATCTGGGCAAAAGCCATCCGCTATTGGAGACCACTTATTGCGTTTATGAGTTGATACGGATCGTGACTGGTGTTTACGGTCAGTACGAATTTGACGGATCGTGAAGCTGCTTCACGATCCGTATCATGTCGACAGTATTGGACATGTATGGGCTGGTTGTATAAAACTCTTAATCACTTTTTAAATCACTATTTCGTAGTTAAATAGTGATTAACTCTCAAATAGGCGCTTCTTATTGGATGACGTGTGCACTTAATCATAGTTAACTTTAATCACTTTTTTATACAACCGGCCCCTGATCTTCTGAATGACTTCGAACAAATACTGGACGTTGTTAGTCGTATTAAAGGGAACTTGGATTTACTTTATAGCGATGATTTTGGCGACGAGTTCCCAGAGAATACTGCACTTTGTACGACGGTAAATCATGGCCTTGTTGGATGACCTCGCTAAAAGTCGCTGTGAACTCACTCAAGATCAGAGACAAATTTTAAGAGGCGAGTTGGGATTTAGATGGTTAGACATTGCTACAATATTGGGAATATCGTCCTGAACTGTGAACAGTCGTCGTCACGCATTTGGTATGTCAGTCGGACAAGATTACAACTTCTCAAATATAAGTACTGAAGAACTCGACAGGGTTGTTAGTGAAATATTAATATTGACACCACAGTCAGGCCTTAGCCTTGTCAGCAAAGACGACGTGCTATAAAAACTCTACACAGACTTGTCCGACTGACATACCAAATTCGTGACGACGACGGTTCAGGGTTCAGGACGATATTCCCATGCAATATTGCAACAATGTCTACCCATCTAAATCCCAACTCGACTCTTAAAATTTGTATCTGATCTTGAGTGAGTTCATAGCGAGGTCATCCAACAAGGCCATGATTTACCGTCGTACAAAGTGCAGTATTCTCTGGGAACTCGTCGCCAAAATCATCGCTATTAAGAGGCAGTCCGTGTAAAAACCGACCACTCGAATTTCTTAAGATTACAGATTTCCTTCAAACTTTCTGTGTGGAAGAAGTCATTCATAAAATGAACAAAAAACGTTGACTTTGAAATTGTAGTCAGTTTTAAAATTTTTTTCGCTATTATTTTCGGACGCGTTCGAAAACAAGTTAAAACGTTAATTACGCAAGTGATATTTGAGCTTTTTTATATCTCACAGTTCGTCTCGCGCTTTTATTCTAACTTCTTGAAACTTACATATTTTATTATTTCCTGCCTAGGCATAAACCTAAACTAAAAATTATCCTGATCACTTGAAGCAAAAAAAATATTGTGTATTTTTAAAAACGTCTTTCAGACAGCGGATTAAATATTCGTGTTAGTATGCTGGCGGTAAATTATTTTTTCTCCAAAGTGCAACGGTATCAAGTATCCAATCTATTGCAGCTACTGAGTATTATGACACATCTACTACAATAAATAATAAAATCTTTGGGCAGTGTGTTTTTCGCCTGACAAGCGCGTCATGAATATAGTCAATTTTCGCTAATTTCTCTAATTATAAGCCATAATTTCTTTTTGTATTTACTTACATTTTTCGCGTTAAAAACATACAAAACTGTTTACTGTTTCAAATATGGCTGTTTTTTGGATAGAGAGTAAGTTATAAATATGCCAGCAATTATATATGCTTGAAATTTTACGTTTATGGGTATCATTATACAAATAATGAATGTTTATGAGTGCAATGGTAAGAATATTTTCATGAGGTGAAAGATGGAATGTTTCATTCAACGAGGCGACAGCCGAGTTGAATGGAACATTCCATCTTTCACCGAATGAAAATATTCTTACCATTGTACGAAGAAACATTCATTATTTGTTTTATATAATACCAAAATAGACTAATAGATTCGTATGAGAAGCATTTTGAGGGATGCGATTTATCGAAAACACAAAGAGTGCAATTGTACTATACGTTTTATTCCATTGCACTCGCGGAGAATGCAATGGAACGTGTTCCATTATTATTATTATTATTATTATAAAGCTTTATTTGCATGACCTAATTACAGGTATTGCTAAGCGTAGATTATATATATATATAAAATGTCAGTAATGTCTAAGCTATAACTATAAAAATATATAGGAAGAAGCTATTTACAAATAGAAAAGCAGCTAGTATATAATTTAAAGATATAATGTTGGTTTTTTTTTGTTTATTTTGTTTTATTATTTATCTAAGCAATTTTTAGTCTAATCGTTGTCCCTAATCTTCCATGGATTTGAGGCTTAATTTTATCTCTCTCCGAAAAACAGTGAAAGATATACTTAGAGAGCAGGTTAACAAGAACTGGATCGTCTGAAGACATCGCATGCTCAAACAGTTTTTGTTTTTCTTCCATTGTGTTATTAAGATAAAATAGATTTTTGGGAATGTTGTTAGAATTATTTCTTAATTCTTCGTATTTCGGGCAAGATAAGGCTAAGTGATATTCGTTTTCCACTTCACCGTTGTTGCAAAGTTTGCAGAAACGTTGTTCGCGAGAAACGTTTTCGTATCTTCCTCACTCAATTTGCAATTTATGATTACTTACTCTATATTGAGAAAATGTTCTTCTTATCGTTGGGTTATCAATAAGGGATAAATATTCTTCCATTTTGTACTGGTTTTTAAATGTACAAAAGAAAGATAGTTTGGAGGAGTTAATCATTTTATGTTGCCAAAATTCAAAATATTTATCTTTCATCTTATTTACAATAGTTTTTGTATCGTAGTTGATTATATCACTTTTCCAAGTTTGTTGTATTATCATAGAGTGATTTAAGCATGTTCATTGCGTTGGTGTAGAAAGATTCTTTGCCTTTTTCAAGTAGTTGTTTAGACATTAGGAAGGATTGTTTAACTATTGAGTTGTCGTCTAGTTTAAAAATATGTTTAAAATAGTTCAGTATATTCTTTTTTATTGTAATCAGCAGTGGGTATTTCCCAAGTTCACTTCTGCAAGCCACGTTACTGGCTCTTCTGTTAACACCTAGGTATAGCTTGCAGAATCTTAAATGAATTTTTTCAGTTTCTGAATTATCCCATTTATTCAGATCATTTTTTTCGTATGCTCCCCAGACTTCTGAGTTATATAGTAGAATTGGGGAAATTATTGAGTCGAAAATTTTTGTTGCTGTTTTTGGTGAAAGTTTATGAAAATCTAGATTTTTACGAATTTTATAAAGAGCATGCAAAGCTTTTTCGCTTAGTTGTTGTTGTGCGAGTTTAAATTTCCCATTTGGTACTAGTTTGAGACCAAGATAGATATACTCTTTGACTATATCTATCTTTTTATCTCCAATGTGGAAATGAAGGTTTGGTAATTTGGAGTTGTGTTTTTGAAAAATCATAATTTTTGTTTTCTTGATATTGACTTCCATTAGCCATTTACTACACCATTCATTTATTTGGTTTAGACAGCTTTGTAAACCTGATTTTGATCGTGAAAGTATAATGAGATCATCCGCATAGAGTAGGCTGTTGATAGTAGTTCCATTTGGTAATAGAAATGGATCTGATTGTGTTTGTTGAAACATTTTTGGGAGATCGTTTATGTAAATATTAAATAATAAAGGGCTTAGAATGCATCCTTGACGGACTCCCTTTTTGTAAGGAAAAAACGGTGTTCTGTTTTCAGATAGTTTTATTGCACATTTCGTGTTTGAGTAGAGGTCTTGAATTAAATCGTAGAAGTGTCCCCCTATGTTGTTTTTGATAAGTTGGTAAAATAAGCCTTGTTGCCAAACATAATCAAAAGCTTTTCTAAAGTCAACAAAACATGCATAGATTTTTTCTTTTTCACTCTGTTTGACATATTTATCATGCAGAGTTTTCAGCGTAAGAATATGGTCAGCCGTTCTATTTCCAGGCATGAATCCAATTTGAGTTGGGTGAATTAATTGCTTTTCGTTTGCGAAATTCATCAATCTATTATTCAAAATTGAGCAAAATAATTTGCCCATGCAGCTTGAGACACAAATACCTCGGTAGTTGTTTGGATCGAGGGAGTTTCCTGATTTATGGATCGGGGTTATTAAGCCTTCGGTCCATGATTCAGGAAATTTTTAGAAAGGCTTTAGAGAGAATTCCAATACTAGATTTAATAATTTCGGTATTATTGGTATTAGTGGTATACTGATATAAAGACATTCTGGAAAAAACGCGTAATTTTATACGCTGCGCCTGAATCCTGAGTACTTTTTGTGGTCTTATAAGCATGCTTTTAGAGGGTAAATATATAAATTTGCTTCGAAAACCACAAATTCGCTTTTTCATGTATACACTAAACCCAAACAAATCACTCGAACTGATCAAATGACTAATTCCATACAACCTTCAGCGACCGATATTTTCATATTAATTCACCACAGCCTGCTCCTTTTGGATCCAAAAGATTCGCAATGCATAGTCCTTGCCAATAATTAAGTCTGATCGAACGTGATTCGAAGTAGTAAAACTACCAAAACAGTAAAAAAACCCCTTGATTTCGTAATACTATACCTATTATAAGTTTTTTGCCCGGTTGAGCTGCCATCTTGGATTTATCATACAGCTGACGCCTCCCGCAGGTATGAGTCAGCGATCTAGTTGTCCTATATCTATGCAAAAGACGCACAAGATTTTATGCGGAAACCATTTAAGCAATTAATATGATTAAAGCATTTAAAGCAAACTAAAATTCAAAGTTTGTGACCAGTTAAATATCCGGGAGATGTTTGGCGCTTTTTTCCAACCAGTAACGATGATTCACCTTGCTACTGGTCCGATAATTTTGCCTGAAATATAGAGAAGTTTCTAGTGCTATACATTCTGTGGTAAACGTTTCTTAAAGTGCCCCTAATGCTTCAAACTTTTTTTAGCGATATCACATCTTGGCATGATTTCTAGTATTTCAGTGAAAAAAAATTTAAATTTGGGCAAATCCTTCGATTTTTATGGCGTTTTGAATTCAGCTTTCGATGGGCCGTCGCCGTCGTATTTTGTAACCACAAAGAGCCTGGGTCGAGCCAGTTTTCTGACGTCATCCGAGGTAGTCGGCATTTAGCCTTGATCAACTTGTATAATTTGAAATTCCGCCATTATTGCTTTGCTTTACTTGTCTTCGGTCGAAGTTTTAAAGATTACCCTGATTTTCCTCGCCATCATGTCTAACTATGAAACAGATTCGGAAGACAGTTATCAGTCTGATGACTCGGATATAAACTTCATTCCGGGATATATAATGGAAAACTCTGAACTTGTAAAAAATTCGGACGATGATTCCAGCGTTGAGGAATTGAACATGGGTCTAGCTTACGCCGATGAACCTTTGGCCGACGAAGAGTGGTTGGCAAATTACAACAGGCAAGAAAAAGAACGGTTAGAAATTGAAGAGAAGCTATGTAAAAGGCTAGATGGTTCTGTCCAACTAAGCGAGTGGTAAGTAATATAATAGTAAACGAAGATTAAAAATGATTTGTTTTCAAGTCATGTATTAACTTGAATCTATCCAATTCCAACTTTCATGGGTTTTTCCTCGCTTTTCTCACAGGTGCAAGTGTGGGAACTGTGGCGTTGAACTTCTCACTAATGGCAACGAATGTTACTGCTGCTGTGAGCTTGAAGGCTGCGAGGAAGCGATGAACCGCGAGGAAGTGATAAAAGACCTCGAAGTCGAAGGTGTACAAAATGCAAAGTGCGTCACACAACACCCAGGATTCAATCCCGTATGCTTGCAAAAGTGGAGTTTGAAGCAAGCTTCAGACAGATATAAAACGAAAAATAAAGACAAATATAAACAAATAAAAACACAGGAAAGGTTAGATAATTAAACTTACATTGTTATTAACATTGTTAGTTATATTTGTCTCCAAACTTGGTTAATAGCCTACAACTCTTTGCTACATAACAGTTTATATACTGTATAATTACAATACAGTGCAACTCTATTCAAGTTTACTTTATGTAGATAATCTAAATATGTATGCCTTCGCCCCTATTCGTCTAGACCCTGGTTAAAAAGCTGTGGTGGGTGGTTATATCAGCACAGCTTTTTCACATTGACCAGTACTACCCCACACTGGTAGAGACAGTTTTAGTATATAGACCCTGGTTAGTCTTTCAACATGGTTAGCGTTAACTTGGGTCACCAGTGCATCCACAACATAAAATCCTACAATAACTTGGTAAAAATATATGAGTTCCATTGAAGGGTTTGAATCCAGCTTGTTTATTCATATATTTGTATAGCTCATCTAGGAAGATTCGACGGTCGATTGTGAATGCTCATCTTGGGAACAAATGAGTGTATATATTGTAGTCTGGTTGACCTAATGACCATTGGTTGATTCCTATTTGTTTTTAGATTCTTACGCAGCATCTCATACAGGGAATTTACAAGACTTATATATGGATTCCTTGGTAACAGGAGGATCCCCCTTCCATCATGTGCCTACACAGCAATAAGGAAAACATTTCCTATTGATAAAGAGGAACATTTTGTTGGATATTCTGATGACTCGGACTAGTAAACAATCAGAAAAGTCAGTCGAGCATAGTGTCAGGTTATCTAATTGTGTTAAATGGGTCATTCCAGTAAACGTCTACACCTTCACTTTAGACATTTATCGTTGTCAGTAGATTTTGACCCCTGCACAAAATAACTCTGTGATGGAGGTATGGGTCGTTTCTGGAATGATGTTTTAGCGTAAACTATGATAATCAGCTTGTTGGACACTCGTGCAATTATTATTATACCAACATTACTAACAGTAGTAACTTGCTTCTGGTATTGAAAATAAAATTTCCTGCCAGTTTTTGTATCAAAAAACAATAAATTGTAAAGGTGCCCTACAGTCCATATGTAAACAAAGCCTTTGTTTACATTTTTGTGTCCAAAATATTGAGCTTTATTCGACAACTATTTATATTTTCAAGCTTCTAGAGTATAATAAATAATCAGGCTTTTCAAGAACCCAAAACATACTTAAACTGTTTGTATCATAAAAAGTGGGCTCCTTTGTGCACATGTGCAGATCGGACTGTAGAGCACCTTTAAACTTCTAAGTCCACTGTAAAATATATATCCTGATAGAACCCCCACTATCCAGGTATTTATAAATGTATATATGAATTACCCAACCAAGGTAGCTTTCATATAACTAATTTTAGGTTGAGGGAAGGAACAGATTCTGGCTACAAGCTTAGCTAGCCTTGCTTGTTTGTGAAGAAAGCACTGTAGCCTAATGTACCAGTAACACAAAGACAACAAATCAGTTTGATATCAATCCACAAACTTGTTTAGATAGAAATATTTTTTTAAAATTAAACATGCTGATATATAGTATTATATGAACTAATGCAACATACTAGTGTGTACATTGTGGTACTCTATTTACAGGAACAGGAAGCTTGGGATAGATAGGGATTTATATACCTGAAAAATACAAGCAAAACTTCAACATTTCGAGGGAAGGCCTTCGTGTGGACGTTAGTAGCCAACTTCTAGACAAACCTGCCTTCGCTCGAAACATTGAAGTTTCACTTGTATTTTCAGGTAGTTGCTCCATACGAAGCTTCCTGTTGTCATTATCACTGGCACACACTGCTCAAGATTTTATTTACAGGAAATATATATTCTACCATCAGAATGACCTTGAACCCTTGAAATACAATGAAAGCTTGAATGACTGTTTGACCAGAGTTTTTATTTATTTTTCGGACAGTCTACAACATTTTTGTGCCCCTTCATGGGATGTCCGCATGACCTGCAGTGAGGAGCAGCCTTATTTTTTCTTGCATCTGTGTCTCTCATCAGTTGTTCTTGATGTTGCAATACTGTAAAGGTAGAAGAAATAAAAGGTAAACTAATTATAGTCCATTAGCACCTAACACTTTTCCCTTGAGGCCTTGACAAATAAAATCATCTGGCATCAGGGCTGCCAAGTGGAGGGAGGGGGGGTTTGTTGGGCCCCCAGTCATTTTTTTGGGCAAAATATTTCCGTACAAAGGACAAAATATTTGTTTTTTGGCCAAAGTACCGAAATTTGGTATTATAGATTGAGGTAAAGTCGCTGTTTTTCCCTAAAAAGTTGGAGGGGAGGTTGTATTTTTTTTCCGGAAAAATGTTGAAATAGGGGCCCCTAAAAAAAATTGTCCTGGGCCCCCCATCAAGCTCTCGGCAGCCCTGTCTGGCATTAGAGTAAAATAACAAACAGATGTGTTCTCAAGGTTTTGGGCAAAGTTTCTTTGTCAGAAGAGTTAGTAGGCAATCATGGCAAAACAATGACCAATGAGAATATGATTGATTGAAAAGTGTTCAGAGATCAAATTTGGAAATGATTATTACCTGAAGTAGTGGGTGGAACATCTTGGATGACAATTTGACTCCTGTCAGATCTCTTTTTCAATGCTTCTCTCTTTGTTTGCTTGGAGAGCATTGTGTTCATTGGGGGTGGGCACATTTCTTTCAGCTTTACAGCTGCATCTTTCAGGTCAGCTTTGCTACTCAATTCGAATGTCTCATATATTTCTTGTATATATGCTGAAAGAAGAGGTGTGATGTAATAAATAAATGAAAGGGACACGATTACTATGTGCACATAAACAAAAACTTACCGAAGTTCTGTGCAACTCTAACATTCCGAACTGTTGCCTCACCATTCTTAAATTTTGGATAGCTGATCTTCACTCTTTCAGAACCGTCTGAATCGTTTCTTTTCATTTCTCTTTGGAGGTTGAAATTAAAATGAATGACAGCTAGAATATGCCTACAAAACCACAATTATAGGACAATTACTTTATTGTCTTCCTGTAATTTGCTATCCTGTAATTAGCTTTACTGATGAAATAGAGAATTATAGAATAAGTTTTAATAGAGTATAAATATGACTTTAGTTAAGTTTCTAACCTGCAATATTGTCCAACATAACAGTATGCAATCATCTTTGGGGCAAAGTGATTTAACACGCTGTGGAAGCCCTCTAAGCAGCTTGTCTGTGCTAACGGAGACGCTTTCTTGATCCCTTTCATCAGTCGGGTGTTTGTCAGTGCAGTACAAACTTTCTTATGAAGTGGTGAATCTATAGAAAAAAACATGAACTGCATCAGTTATCTATTCATGCATGTACTGTACTAGAGTGATCCTGGATAATAGAGTTTAGGTAGGTCTGATGGGCCTTCCAACCACAACTCCAACTGAATGGGGAACTGGTTACATTTTACCTGCATGACAATAAATATACAACGAATGCAAGAACTTTTGGCCATGCACATACTTCAATAACATACCAATGGTCAGCCACTTTCTAGCTTCAATGTCACTGCCATGGGCACACTTATCAAACAGGGGATCACTGTGACCTGAATGGATGTTCACAATGTGCCTCAAAAAGGACTTGAACTTAGCCCATATGACCAGCCCATTTCCACTGAATGTCGAGGTGGCACTCCAGTGCAGGTGGTTTTCACACGGTTTGATCCACTCGTTTACTGCCTCACAGTCTTTCTCTTTGGCTATTTTTGAAAGCACCTTCCTAATTTCTGTGAGAAAAAATGAATACAAAATGCAGGAAAATAAGAATTGGTCAGAAGCACTTATTTGTAAACAGATCCCCCTCTCACAATACTTTCTGGGGCATATGAGGTCACTTTGCTAGACATATGGTGATATCCTGTGTGAGTTTTAATATAAACAATAATAATATATAGTGCATATTGCATAATATATTACATCATTAGTTATTCAGTAATGTTTATAGTTCAGTGGGCTCTGATTATTCTCTCATATAAGAGGCCTGGACACTAGCTTTGCTCACTTGTTATTATTGTTGTAATGCTGTGTGCATTTTCTCATTATTTTGGTAGTTTGTGAGGGCACGACAGCGTGAGAACTTAATTAATGAAATGGATGAGCTACAATAAGTCCTATCTATGGTGATAAAGTCAAGAAATAAAAAGTGAACAAAGCTAATGTCCAGGCCTCTTGTAATGAGAGCCCACAAATAATAAACATGTGCATTTAATACAGTACTATGTACTACAGAGCAAATTGTATGTTGTAGGTAGGAATTGCTCTTACTTTTCTTCAAGTGCCAGATGTCAAAATAATGGACAATGTTCTTCAGGACTGTCCGCATGTGTTTTGCAATGGAAGTGTGCCTGTCTGATATAAATGTTGTTATGGTAAGGCCATATGCAATCATGTAATCCATGCATAACTTGAAAGACATGAACTCCATCGCTGGACTACTTCCTGCCTGATTTCTCTACAATGGAGAAAAAGTGAAAAACAGAGCTGCAATAAGTACATTGATCAATTCACTGGTGAGTGTAAGAACTTTATATATCATCATTTTCCGATTGCATGATGCAGATTCTAATAAGCAGCCTGCAAAATAATTCCTACCTGTACAAGATTGAAATGTATGATTTGTGCAAACGTACAACAAAAAATTGTATATGCACAAAACTTGGCCGAATGTCCCATGCTGTCATGGGGACCATCCCTTGCTATCACTACACCATCTTTCACTTGCTTAGCCTTCTCCATCAACATTGCCTGGTACTTCTTCCAGTGTAGATAGATGGTTGGAAATAACACAGTCTAAAACATAATTTACATTACTTCAGATATATTTTAAACCAAGACTCTCATGATGAGGGCAAATTTCAAGCAATTTTCCAATACTGTCAAACTGTTCACTGAAAAGGGTTGAGTGAAAAGTGCAACCATAATGTATTAGATAAATAAATAAGTCTGTTTAGCATATACTGTACTTACTCTCTGATAATGGAAGTATGTATTATGTGAAATACATCCAAGACCCATGTGCAGAAATATTTGCCGTAATTTAGTGTAAGAGCCACCACCGAGTAAAACTGCCATACACAAAAGGAAATTACCAGCAGGTGTTTTACGTCCAGGCATTCTAGGTTGGCTATGCCAAATTGTAGTCTTCTGTGGGCACTTTGGGTTGTTGCATGTAGTGGTGACAACTGCTTCAGTTCCAACACCTTTTGCCTCAACTAATGGATTGTCAGTCTTGCAACAATGGCAAAAGTTGAAAAGCAACAGAAGCTGTGACAAAAACACAATGTGTTTTGGTTCTGTTCGCAGATTGCCGTCGACTTGCAATAACCTATCACAAGTAAAAAAAGTACTAAATCATGAGATCATGACTTTGGTATATATATTCTGCCATGATGGTGCAAAGAAACGAATAACAAATTTCCTTTGAGTGGCTAAAACAATGGTACTAATCAGTGTGGTAAATGTTGTGTAAAATCTATATTTTTATCACAATAGTATAAAATACTTACCCCGAACTTTCTTCTTCTATTTCTTCTTCTTCAGCCTCACTATCCACCTCAGCTTCTTCCACCTCGTAAGCCGGGTCTTTGGTTTCACTCTCATCTTCCATGGCTTCTTCATCATCAGTTTCGCTCTCTGTTACTTCTTCCATCTCAGTTTCTTCCTTTTCACTCTTTTTTTCAGACACTGATTTTTGTTCCAATAATCGTTCAAGCTTGTTTACTAGATATGTATTAAAATAGAATGCTGCTTCATATACAGGTAATAGCCTTTTCGATTGCATTGTATGATATTAAACCTACAGTAGATTAAATTGCACCATATTATACAGTATTATATATGGGCTTAATACCTTTGCGTTTCATTTGTTTCATTTTAATTTTCTTCTCTTGTGCAATTGTTTGCAGGGTAATGATTTGGTTCTTCAGTCTTCGGTTTTTTTCAAAGATTGTTTCCAAATCAGCATTCAAGTTTGGCATCTGTGTATCGGTATCAGTGGTGAGGATCTATGAGTATAAAGTAATAAAACAATATTTTTAATAACCCATTGGGTGGCAGCACTCTCCCCCGACAAGTATTAAAATCGTCTGACGTCATGCACCTATCAATGTTAATCCCCAGAGGGGTTGGGCATATGTGGGGTATTTGATCATCAATTGCATCACCACCCTGGGGATTTTGATTAGCATTTTGGTCCCAAGTTGGGGCAATTTGAACCAAATGACTTTTATTAATATAGTATTTATTGCAATTTATTGCAAAATGGTGGGGTATTTGACCAATATTTATTGCCTGACGGTGGGGCATTTGATTGAAAATTTGCTCAAAAAATCAAATGCCCCACCTATGCCCGACCCCCCCCCCCTCTGCGGCTTAACATTGATAAGTGCATTAGGTAGATGTAATAACAAAGTTGCATGGGCAGATAGTCTAATTAATCCATTGAGTGGCAGCATGCTCTCCCTGATGAGTAAAATAGTCTGGCATTAGACTGAGTAAAACAACAAAGTAGGGCGCATCTGCGTGTATTTACATTAAAACGCTTCCATAGGCTGAGTATAATTTATAGTATAATTATAAACCTGGCATTTGCATTTATAATAGTAAGTGACTGGTGACCTTACATTTACTGGCTCGTCAGGGTGACTTTCTCCAAGCATCTCCAGCTCTTGGGGCCCTAACTCTTGCTTCCTTTTCTTGCGCTGTGCAGTCGACTTTGGTGTGCGCTTGGTGACGACGTCCATCTTCGAACCTTCGACTTCCCCATGGCATGTGCTTTCTTCTGTGATAGCTTTTATGAACTATATGAAAGATACAATGGACTATAACATATATATAATATATATAATATATATCCTATATATAATTACATAATTAAATGCTATACAATATACGTTGGAAACAACTCAGAAAAATTGAAAAAAATCGTGCAAAAAATTCAATAAACTCACCATGCGTCTATCCCTAGGACTTTGCGTATCTGGTTCGCTTGCATGTTTCGTCGCTACAGCATGAATACTTGGGTATACGCAAATGCCAAGATCATCTCTCTTTAACCTCGGATGATTTGGCTTCGTTTGATTAGGCAAACTGGAGAATCTTCGCTCGTAATCTTCAGGCAGAAAGTGAATTGAGCATAAAGTCGAAGCCTTCGAAGGCTCGAAGACCCGTTTTGCCTTCACGAAGTCAACCCAGATTTTCCGTCTTCTCTTTGCTTCAGGTCGATCATCGTTGTAATAAGGAATAGTGTGAAGACTTATACCTGAACTTAGGCAAGCTTTATTCGTGCAATTGGCCGCTACACAACTATTGACCATCTTTTTTACCAAAGCAAACAAACGCAATATATGTATATGATCTACAGTGAATTTGCATGTGGTTTTCACGAGTACCTCGGATGACGTCACAAAATTCACTCGTTTCAGACTCCTTGTGGCCACGGAAGTGGTCCACAAAAAGTGCCTTTTTACCAACTTTAAACTGCCATAAAAATTGGAGGATTTGACGAAATTCATTTTTGTTTTCGGCAAAATGCTAGAAATCATGCCAAGATTTGATATCGCGAAAAAACGTTTGAAGCATTAGGGGCACTTTAAAGCTGGAGCACGAGCAACAAACAAAACTTGCAAGCAAAATCTGATTTCAACGCATGTTAATTGAAAATGTTTAAACATAAATTACAAATCACAAGGCAACATGTGTCGACATTTCTACTTAAGTTAAAACATGCGTTGAAGTCAGATATTGTTGCCAGTTGTAGCAATTTTTTGCTCGAAATGAGAAATGTGAAAATGTGAAAAATTTCGAATGAAAAGATTGAACTCATGCGCGACCTGATTTTGGAGAGTTTCTCTGAGAAATCTTCGGTATGAGCTCCATGCCACCTTTAAATTTACTATCAGTAAATTCTTAAACACGTCCGAATTTATCAATACAATAAATTCGCAACACATGTTGAGCCCTAACCCTATCCCCTAACCATAACTACCCTAAACATAACCCAAACCTCTAACCTCTAACCCTGGCCTAATCTTAATCGAACCCTAATCTAATCTTTATTTGACACTAATCCAAACTCTTTTTGTATTGATAATTTCAAATTGTGTTGCAAATTTATTATATATATTGATAAATTCGAAATTCGGACTCTATATTATTGATTTGCCAAAATATTTAAGACACACTAGACCAGATATGTTCGCCGATGACACCCAAATTGCAACATCTAATAGCGATGTCAATGTGATCTTAGAGAATCTTAACACAGATTTAAATGTTTCGACTTGGATGTCAGCTAATAAATTAACTTTGAACAATAAAAATACAGAGTTCGTGGTTATAGGTAGCAATAATAAGCGACTTGGCCAAATAGTCCAAGAACCCTCAATTTGTGTGAGAGGTACAGAGATTAAAAAGGTTAATGCGACCAAGTCGCTTGGTCTAATGATTGATGATACTTTATGCTGGTCGGCCCAAGTTGAAAAAATTACAAAAAAAGTTAACTCAGGACTCAGCCTTATTAGAAGGCTGCGGGATATTGCTGATTATAATACTTTAATAACTGTTTATAAATCAATAATCCAACCACACTTTGATTGTTGCTCACAAATTTGGGGTTGCCTAGGAAAGGTTTTATCAGATAAACTTCAGCGTCTCCAAAATAGAGCGTTTAATTTCGTATTATTACCCGTGAAGGATATGAAACGCGATCAAAACATAACAAAACTAGCCCGGTCTGAATGTGTAATGCTGCGCCTACTGCAAGCCGGGAATTTTACCCTTTGCACCAGGGGTATATATCCCATAGGTCGTTACGTTACCTTTGCTCTAATTTATTCCGATTGCACTCCGAAGCAAATTTCAAACTTCGGAAATCCGTGTTTAGTTCGTTGATTTTTGTACTCGGAAGATAAAGTTTAACGTCATTTCCAGTGCTATTTTACGTCTATATTAGGCTACCACCGAATGAGGCAGCAATATAAGATATGCAAGTTATATTGTTTCTATAATAAGCCGGGAAAGCATTTTTGAATGTATTTAACTTTGTTTTATCACAGTTAATAAAGGTTTTATGTCGCTACTGATCGATGCCATCGTGATGTTAAATATTTTAGCTATTCAGTAATTATTAAATCGACAGGTTTCGCTCGATTCTAAAAATTCGATCAGAAAATTCCATTTAAATATATCATGGCCAGAAATCACGGACATGATTTATTATACGTCCTTCGTAATATGGCTTCTGCAGTAAACAGTAAATTATATTACGCGATGCTGTAAATCCCAAAAGCAGAGAATATGGTAGGTCGTTTGCAACTTGCCTCAGTCGCTGGCTGTAAATCAAAGTCGGTCGAAGTATTTAGCGTAATGTTGACTTGATTTTAATTAGTGAGCATTTTCCATTTCCAGTATTTGTACACAAGCTATAGTTTGTACGGAATTTATCTATTTAACTCTATATAATAATACCGCACTATAAGTATAGCCATGCACTAGAAACAAACGAAAATGCAGAATAGGCAGTAACTTACACCAGGCAAACACTACACGATATATTTCAACAGACCGTGTTCTGCGGCCAGCCGTCGAGGCAAATTGCAAACGACTACCAATATTCTTTGATTTTGCGATGTAAAGCATCTCGTAACATAATTTACTGTTTACTATCGAAGCCATATTTCAACGGGTTATGTATTAATGATTTGCAAAGTTAGTAAGGAAGTAGAATAATCCTGTCCGTGATTTCTGGCCATGATAGAACTGACACAAAATTTCTCAATACAAGCGAACACAACATGTTCATCCAAGAGACAAACAAACTGGGAGATACCCGTTGCATTCCGATTATTTTCCCGACAGTATACCGAAGTCTGCCGAATTTCGGAGCCGTCAAAGTGCGCATGCGTCGTACTATGTTGCTGATTAGTTGAAAAGCAGGCTCAATTACACACTCACACCGGGGGCGAATTATAATGGATATTCTAATCAAGGCAGGATTTTCAGATCTGCAAACAAGAAGGGAACAACAACATGCTACATTAATGTATAAGATTAAACATAAAATGCTTCCAAACTACCTGCAGGATATTTTCATCAATACACAAGAAGTCCATAATCATAACACTAAGCATAGTGAATTTAATTATACATTACCAATGCCAAATACTAATGCTATGAAAAAATCATTGGCCTACAGAGCTGCGGAGACTTGGAATGCTCTCCCAATTGACCTGAAGTCGTTCGGAAGTATAGCAACTTTTAAGAGTGGGGTAAAACAATGTAGATTGATATGTTAAGTTATAATTTTTTTTTATATTTATAGTAGTTAGCACACGGCCTATTGGAAGATCACTTTTTTCGTCGTGAAATGGAGCGGACATAGGGCAGCCAATCGAATGCTTGTGTTTTGGATCGATGACAAAATAGAAAAGCCAATCAAAATGCTTGTACATGTTTTGGCGTTATATCTATACTGTGGAAATCATTGACGAGAGAATATTTTTGCGCAAGTGTCTTTTCGCGCGAAATTTTTCGCATTTCGCTCGTCGTAGAATTAGGCATTTAAATTCTTAATCAGTTGGGGCCTTTTCGGAAAGAAAATAGTGTTGTGTATGAAAGCAAGGGGAGAGGGGGGTGGTACAGTACAAGAAGTTTGGGTGCGGGAAAGGAATTTAACGTCCATTCTAATCAACATTAGGTTTTGGCAGTACTTAATTGATTCTAGTTAAAATTTCTGTAATTTGAAACTAGAAAGAATATCGTGTTCTAGTATAGTTTTCGAAGCCAACTGATATTCCGAATCTAAGAATTTCGAATTTAAAGATCCTCATCACTGTCGTCAGGCATGGTACAGTAGGGAGTTTAAGATCTTGAATACGAACTACCGACTACGTTTGAAATAGTTTTTATTATATGTATGCAAATACGAAGTGCTTGTCATACCAAATTCATCCCAAATATGTTTTATGTGCATGCCTTTGTGTTCGATAAGTTTCATCTTTTAATTTTCATCATTTCTTTAATTTTAAAAATAATATTCTGCAACGTTGCGTAATCAGTTTCGGTGCTAGCTATGTTCTTGATTCTGTTTTACAACACAAGAATGTGATTTGTACGCTGTGGCCAAGGTCGCTACGCCAGTGAAAAGTATGCTCTGGGTATATGTAAATTTTGTCTGCCTCAGTTAAATCAATGCGAAAACAAGCTTTCAACCGTACTCCGTCAATTTCTAAAATATATAAAGTAGGTATAATATTTTGGCTTCTATGGGCTTTATTTTTATGTAAAATTCAAAACGAAACTCTACGTAAACGTTTTTAAATGTGATTGAAATTAACCGCTTTTTGCCGATATTTATAAACTCCTCAACTCGAGCTTCAACTTATTACTCGCACTTTGAAATGAAACAAATTTAATTCGTACAGGACGCTAATGAAAATAATTTGCTTTAGCTTTTTATCATGAACTTCTACGAAAGTTAATTTAAGTAAGAAACTTTCGCAAACAATGCATAGGAAAGACTTGAACATGAAGAACAAAGCCTATATTATTGAATACAAAGTCATACATAAACAATTGAAACAAATTTGCCCTATACTTTAGGATTTATCATACAATATCAATTCTTATCAATGTTTACGTTTAAAAATTGAAAAAAAATTGTACAATTTGTTATGTGAAACGATTTTCCGAGCTTCCTTACATGTATTTTTTAATATTTTTGCCTTCTTCACTCCTGGCAGACAGCCATATTTTGAGATCAGTGATGACCACCCACCCAACACTCCAACATCGTTGGTGAGCGCCCGCGGTCATTGATGAACTTTAGACTTCGCTAATGCTTTCGTTTCCCCGGGTGTAGATGTACTGAAAAGATTTATTCATAGAATGAGCATAGCTAGATACATTAAAAATATATAAAATCCATTAAAGCAATTCGTTTAAAAAGGTTCAAGTTAGTACAAAGTGTCAAACAAACTAGTATTATTCATATAAAAAGGAACTCTAGTGCCCCTCAAACATAGAAGGGAAGATCTCAGCAGACAAAAAGAGAGTTTCGTACGTAGCCAAGACATAGTTATTGAGTAAGGTTTGCCAAATTTGGCTGCCAGCTTTGTAGCAAGAATCTTGTGAAATCTCGCACATTCTTTACCCATCGCACCATTTGTGCCAAAGACCAATGGTGTAAAAACTGCTTGCTCAATTTCAATTACTCTTCGATTATATTCTCTTTTCTTCTCATTCTCATGACATGAGAGGATCTTGTGGGTTGGTAGTAACTTATAGGACGCTGCGTTAAGATGTGCTACTCTTATGTCAAAAAATGCACTTTGGCCATGTCTATAGAAACCCCTAGCTTTCACATCAAGTCGTGATTCATCTTCTGTGTTTGTTGATCTCAAGGCAAATTCTTCTCCTGTCACCGGTTCTAAAGGTGGCTCGATAGAAACATCATTGCAGACTTCAGAGAGGAGAGCAGCTTCCAGATTTCTCATTTGGTCGTGGCGCGCGTGTATAAAGCCACCTTTTTTACACTCCATCGCGTGGTAAGGATCGAAAGGTTTTCCACAGGGACATATGCTTGGGAGATCTGGGATATATTTGTTATATCTCAGCGCCAAAGCGTCTCTGAATTCTTCTTTATTCAGACAGGAGCCTTCTTGCAGTGGTAAGACATTTAACCATCCAGAGGCACCTTTATCTCGGGCTAAAGAGATTGTTCGATGCTGCTCTTGGGAAAGTTGAATATCAACCGATAATGAGGAGGTAGTTTCTCTTTCCACCCGAAGAGTTCGAACTTGGGACTTTACGTTGGTTATTGCGTCGTCTTGTGGAAGTTGATTACATGCTTGAATGATGATCAAAGCAGATAGTGGAGCACATAACAGTTTTGACGTATTTCGCTCGAAATCAGCATCTTCTGGGATACGTGGTATTCCCAGTCCTCCATTACGTATGGGTAGAGCATAAGTTTCCCGATCAAGTTGAGAAATATCCTGGCCAAATATAGTTGGTAGAAATTTCGAACAAATAATTTCTTCTACAGGTTGGAACAAATGGGCCACGTTTGGAATAGTCCTGATGTAAAAAGTAAACTTGTGCTTATAACCATGCACAAAAGCAGCGTATGCGGCATGTGGCTGCGACTTCGCTATAGAGCATAGATTTTCGAGCTCAGTACACCAAGTAGAGACTTTGCTATTAACATATTCCTCTCTGAAACAAGTAGATCCAATGACAGCTCCCAGTAATCTATGACCATCGGATGTAATCTTGATGTCGTGACTTTTAAATAATTCAGTGGCTCTCTCTATATCACACGGATCTTTAATTACTAACCAAGATTTCCCACTGTTGACATGGTAGCCATACTTTACGCCTTCGCTTATTAGCATTTCAAAAAACGCCAGTAAAGCACGTAGTTTACCTGCTGCGGTCGAGTCATCGGCAAACCAAACCTGTTTCACCATATCATATGCATCATGAAGAAATGAAATTAATACCATGACCGAAATGGCATAGAAAGGCATGGCTAGGGTCCCCCTGTGTTGTGTCTTCTTGCGATCGAAGCTCACCTCCGCCCACAATAAATAGCCTCGCGGGGTTTCGATACGTATTAATTATGGATATCGCTGGTCTTGGGCATAATAACAAAATGTTATGAAGAGCAACTTGACGATTTAGTGAATTAAATGCATTACTTGCATCAATCAGTAAGATCCCTTCCGTGTTTTCCTCTTCCCATACTTGCTGCATAGCATGGATGGCTGCTTCTGCTCCAGCTTCATGCCCAGCACAGACTTGAATCGGACCAGTCGCTTCTTTGAAATCTTGCTTGAATTCCTTTGTTAGCGCTTTCCCAACCAAGCGCCTCATAATCTCACCAATACCGATGGGTCGTATACCAGGGGACTTGTCTAAGGGGATAAGTCTATTGGCAACATATGCTTCCAGGCAGAAGGGATCCAGACTTTCTGTTGCTATTTTCACAGCAAACAAAGCAATTTGTTCACGCAGGCATTTACCTTCACGGTGAAATTGCTTTGAGCAAAGCATACGAATATACTGATTAGCGTCGAGGCCAGAGGGACCAGCAGCTCCCTTTAGTGTTTTCGCAGCAGTTAGTATAGTTTGCTCATCAACTGCTGTAGATATATTGCGAAGGTCAATAATGGGACCATGGAGTAAGCTACTTGGTTGTATATCTGCAGGGGCTGGATGCTTCTCCTGCAGATTTCGAAGTACTTCCTCGGATAATGGTAGGACACAACCATCAGATTCTTCGCTAAGAAGACGGGTGTAAATAGGTGTAAATAGCCGGGTGTAAATAGCCGGGGGGAATTAGTACCCTCGCACGGCGCTTCGCGCCGTCGGCTCGGTGATAAAGTAACGAAAAGAGCATGCACACAGGAAGTATAAAAAAACGAATAGAAAAGTTGAAGAAAAAAGCATGAAGGTCAACAGGGTTAGGGTTCAACATGTGTTGCGAATTTATCGTGTCGATAATTTCGGACGTGTTTAACAATTTACCCATATAGTAAACTCAAAGGTGGAGCTCATGCTGATTGAAGCGGAAAACGGGCTAGCTTAATTAAATTAATAGTCTAAACGCTAAACATCAGCATGCATCCGCGATTACCTAGGAGTTCAGTAGATGGTATTCAAGCAACTCCTCTTTTTTCTTGATACGGTAAACTTTTCCAGAATCGGCAGAGCCAGCCATTACTCTACCGTCAGAAGTATAAATTGATAGCCCGCTACGATAGTTGAAACTTCCTCTAAGCCTGCGGGAGCGAGGTTACTAATTCCGTACGGCTATTTTCACCCGGGTATGGTGAGAACATAGCGAAATGCAAAGTTGGCCTCCATTATGTAATGGAAAATATTTGACATTATGGCTAAAATTGTGTTTTTAATTTTGCAAAGATTCACGTGTTGGACACTATTTTGTGGGTTTTGTTGTTATATACAGCATAATAAGTTTGCGAAATTAAATTGCGATCGTTCAAAAGTTCGCGAAAAGGTTTACAACAGTACAAAACATTTTTTTATTTAAACTGCTAATAAGTCTGCATTTTCATGAATTGGTGGCTGTCAACGAAACTAAGTTTGAATTTTTTCTATAGCGCTTGCCGGGCTAGCCCGCCTCATGTGAAACAAATAACAACTTGGCCCGGCAAAGCGAGCTAGCCAGGCTTAACGGGCCATACAGCCTGGCTCATAAGGCCCTATAAGTAAGGCGAGGGGGTATTCATAGTACTTTAATTGAAATGAAATTCACAATGTTTGCCCCGAATAACGGGATTTTTTCTTGTGGTTTATACTGAAGTTTGCCCATAGTAACGTCAATTTTCATTCAAATCTCAAACAATGAACAAATATTTAACTTGCTGCATTGGCACACACCAATAAATGTATTTATCAACCTCGTACCCAGGGCCTGCCCGCCCAATTTTTTTAATATAGCCGCCAAAGCGGGCGAGGCCCTGGTAAACGCTGGTCACGTGTCAGGCAAATACTCCAAGATTCTAGGAGTATTAGCCTGCGAGCGGGCTTTATGGAATTAAAGACAGGGGGCGACGAAAAGTTCACGAATAGAACTTGAATTGCCGCAGAATATTTATATTATTTTATTTATTGTAATCTTTCTTTTTAAAAATTATGTTACGTTTATATATACGTCGAATGTACATCAATCTTCTTTGATATCGCATCATATAAGTTGCCGAGGAGGCGATGTTTCGAATTTCGAAGGAAAATATTGGAGCCAAACTCGTACATATCAATTTGCGATGGTTTCCATCAAGTAAAAGGTACAGAATCAATTTGAAAATGTTTGAAGTATTTCATTCTTACAAATTATTTGGCAGATTCCCATTATTTGTTACACTGACTAGCTTTATGAAATATATATTTCGAAGGCTATTTAATATACACATAGCCATGCAGATTATGGCCTATAATATTATATTCAGACTCTCAGTAAAGTTCTACTCTCACATGATTATTATTTAAAATATTGATTTATCGCTGCGAGGAACGTGTTTACACTTACAGTATTATTAAACTATACAGTTTACAGCAGCATTAACTTCAAATACTTTGTTTTTACATTTACATTTAATGACCTGAAATTATTTAAATGAGACATATTACTGTAATAACAGAGTGGCCAGGTTGACAAAGCTATAGTTTTATTTCATTATTTTGTTCCCTTGCCCCTACATTTATACCTTTTGTGCCCATGAGATCTTTAATAAAATTGCCTAACTGTGCAATGTGACATGTAATCTTGTTGCCATAATTATTTTCTGAAGGCTTCAATAAATTTCTACTCTAACACCAGACAGAGATGGGGGCCATATGTATGAACAAGAAGAAATGATTTCTTCATCTATTGACCTCTTTCACCAAAATTAATTTTAAAATTAAATTTACTGAATGATTTTGAAGTTTTCTAGATTATTGAACAGAAGTCTATGGGTACAAGAAATGGGGCAAAAATAGTTGAATTAAGCAAGATGCAAGTAACAATGAACAAGACCGGGTCACTGGATGGTATTTCAGCACACTGGCGGACATGCAACCTAATATCTGTATAGTTTTACACTGTACTAGAAAAATAATGTCAAAGAATTTGTAGAGATTTACAATCAACACTCCATATGATTTATTCAATCACCAACATGCATGAATAATTTGATGTTATGAATTTTTTAAAAAAATTATTCTCACTTTAGATAATTATATATCAATTTTCAATATCATAAATGAACATATAGTTACTGTAGCTTTTGATTATACAATTTATAATGATATATCAGCAAATTACTGGTCTCTCTGAAATCCATATAGAAAGGTTCAAATTTGACTTCACTACCACTACATGATCTGGCAGTTGCATCCGATTGTTTGACTGGATTAATGAAACTTATCTGGTTAATAGTTAATGATGGCAATAGCAGTAGTGGAAGTCAAATCTGATCTCTATTATTTTTGAAGATTTTCTCTAGTCACTTCAAGTCAGGGTTGCCCATGCAACTTGGTTAGCACGGCCAGTTCTTCAAGTTGGATTCTGCAAATTAATTCTAGAAAACTAGCTTTGGTTTGCGCTAAGCAAAAATTATCACACTGTTTACCGATTTGATTATCATGCTGATTTGGTTGTTTAACAGTCCAAGTCCAGGCTGCATGTTTTTTGTCGTGCATATGGCAGATAGGACAGTCCGGTTTTCAAGTGTTTATGTGGGGAATTAATATTAATCCTGGCTTCTGAGTGAAGGTCTTGCCTGCTAATTTATGCGAGAGCAGGCTCTATACAAGATTCCAATCACTACACAGCATGATCTCAGGGCTCTTCCTCTGAAACAACACTTGGTTGCGACATCATCCAGCTAGTGCAAAAATGCACTACCACCGCATTACCACGGTCAACTGGAATCATTTGGCATGTTCATCGACTATGTTAACCCATTGAGTGGGGGCATGCACTGTCCACCTGACGAGTAAAACTGTCTGGCATTAGACAGAGTAAACTAAAAAAGTACGGTGCATTGCCACTTAAAGGTTAAAAACATAAATACCACTGCACAATACTTGTACATATACAACAACAATTCTTTTATATATTTAATGACTTTATATTTACCTACCGTATTTACTCGTTTGAGCGCCGCCCCCGAATGAGCGCCGCATTTGAGATCAAATTTTTTAAAGAGCGCCGCCCCCGAATGAGCGCCGCACCAAACAGTGTAAAAACTTTCCGCTGTCAAAATGGGGACATTTAGTGACAAAGACATTCAAAACCTGTTTATTTATTGTTAAAAGTTCTTATGGTGAAATATCAAATGAATGTCCATATATATTATGGATGTCCATGAACTTGTCCCTAGTTTGAAGCTCAAGTGTTCATATCTTTTGTATAAATTGTCCCTCTACAAACCACCTTTTAGTCATTATACAAGAGTTGAATTTGCATTAATTTGCTCTGCAAGTTGCAACAAACTGAACAAAGTACTAAACCATAAACCTGTGCAAATGATCGAGCGTCTTGAGCGACATATCCAAGTCTTTTAAACGTCTCATTGGAACAAATCTCACTGAGTTTTTTCTACAGAAAGTATTGATCTATTTGATCGATTGCCGTACTTTGAGAAAAGCTTGAAATGCTGAGAGAAAAACTGTTTGTCTTCGAGTTTCACCTCTAGCATTCACCCCCGCTTGAGAAAAGTACTAACAATTACGTAATGTTGGAGTCACGTGACCAGCGTTTACCAGGGTTATGCCGCCACCTTCAATTCGCGGATAGCCCTGGTTACGAGGTTGTGTATTTATATGCTTCTGATAGACTGAGAACGTGCTTGCAAACCATGCATAATATTTGCAAAGAAGACTGTCAGAGAAAATGGCACTGAACAGTTGCAAAGCGTTGAATTAATTTGGCAGGTCTCTCACATGATATGTGCATATCCAAATTCGAAAACATGCCGGGTCGGGTACACAAACCATGCAACCTTTGTATGTCTCGCTTTAAAAGGCTCCCAATATCTGATGACCGCTTAGAAACATGCAAATGTTAAAGCTCCAGTGTTCCACTAATATTATAATCCCTTGTTTTCATTTACATGTAACACAAAGGTGAATGACGAGAAAAATAATTTCACCAAGGCAATGTTCAACAATGATTATAAACAGCGTAAGATGTAGAAAGATCAGCATATACTATTTTTTTGGCATTTAGACTTCAGAGATTTTTCCGGGAATAGTTGGCAACTTTGCCAGTATCTTAATACTAGATTTACTGAATCGAATGTTAACATAAACACACACCAATGCCAGTATCTTAATCCCCGAGCCGGCGGCGCGAAGCGCCGTGCGAGGGTACTAATTCCCCCCGGCTATTTACACTCGGGGAAACGAAAGCATTAGCGAAGTCTAAAGTTCATCAATAGACAGATTTAGATCGAGGACGCGGACGTCAACACGACGTAAAATGGTGCGCAAAGGTCTGGGTCGAGAACGCCGTCGTGTCGAGTACAAAAACAGACTTAGATTGAGCGATCAGGACGCCAAGAAGACGTGTAAAATGTTTTTCAATTGAAACATCGCCTAGATAGATGATTTTCTTCGATAAATCTGAAGTGAAATAGGATGTTCACTCGAAATAGACATGGTAAAAACCACAACCAAATATTGACAGTATTTATAAAGTTTGTTTATATACACCTAAAATTGTGACTATAAAAATAGCTGAAGTGAACTTGTAGCTTTAATATTTTGTTTTAATATTGTCTTTTATGATTGTTCACAATTCACAAAAATGATTTTGAAATAAATTTGGTCGTTAAATACTCAAATTTCGTGATGCTGTCGTGATATATGTTTGCAAATAGTTAATGTTAGTTTGTGATTTTTGTGATGGCGCTTGGTGGTTTGCAATCTGTTCGCGATGCTTTAATTCTTGCCAGACACGAGCAGTGTATTTCTGATACCGAATTTGTTTTGCTGTTCGAGTATAACTTGTCCAAACCTTTATTCCCATACTGGAAATTTGAATTCTTTGATCTGGATTCTTGGGATGATGAAGAATGCAAGATCGAGCTGAGATTTTCCAAGTCAGACCTGGCTTTGTTACAGCGTTTGCTCGGAATTCCTGAAAAGATTACATGTCAGCAAGGAAGTATATGTTCTGGAATCGAAGGACTATGCATTTTCCTAAAAAGACTTGCTTACCCATGTAGATATCCTGATATGGCTATACGTTTTGGTAGAAACCCAACTGAGATATGCCTCATATTTAACGAAGTTCTGGATTTGGTATATGATGCACACCACCACCGCCTGGAGAGTTGGAATCAGCCTTTTTTGTCACCAGAGCTGCTCCAAAATTGTGCTGATGCAGTACATGACAAGGGTGCCCCATTGGAAAACTGCTTTGGATTTATCGATGGCACTGTTCGCCCAATTGCTCGACCGAAATACTACCAGCGACAAATGTACAATGGTCACAAGAGGGTGCATTCCATAAAATTTCAAAGTGTTGTGCTGCCTAATGGTCTTATTGCTAACCTTGCTGGGCCTTACGAAGGTAAAAGACACGACAGTACAATGCTTCGTGAATCAGGGCTTCTAGCTTCCTTACGGCAGGTTGCCTTCCACAACAACCAACCGCTTTGTCTCTATGGTGATCCAGCTTACCCACTGGGAATTCATTTGCAAGCACCGTTTAGAAATAGGGAGCTTACACCTGAAATGATGGAGTTCAACAAAGCTATGAGTACTGTGAGAGTCTCAGTTGAGTGGATGTTTGGTAACATCACAAAATATTTTAGCTTTGTGGACTTTAAAAGGCAGATGAAAGTAAATTTAAGTGCTATCGGAAAAATCTATTGTGTGGCTGCATTACTCCAGAATGCTCATACCTGTCTGTATGAGAACATTGTATCCCAAACATTTCAACTACAGTCACCAACAATTAATGAATATTTTTGGTGATATCTCACTAACAATACCTTCCAGGGCCATAGCTATTGGGGGTGGGGGGTGGGGGGGGTGTGGTTGTGAATCCCCCATAAAATATATTGTTGGCAAATCATTTTTGTATAGTGCAGAAAATATTTGAGTGAAAGTAATAGTTATAGCTAAAATTTTGATAAATTTATGAAAATACTACCAAAAAATTTAAGAAATGACACTATTAATTGGAGAGTTACTGAAGAATGGTATATTCGGAAAATTTTTTACTTCCCCCTGCCTTGGGAAAAGAAAGATTAATGGACCTATTCCCTAATGAACAAAATTTTGATCTAGACAAGCCCCTTCGTTACGGCCCTGATGTCTCCATGCACTCACCAGAGTTTTAGTTGTCAATAAGTATTGCTATATGTATAAATATAATTTATTAATGTGAATATTTAAATAGTGCAAGCAAAATTACACAAATCAGGCCTGTCTTGGACCTTAAAGTTGACAGTTTACGAGGTAACAATGTATGCAAGGCCTGCTTTCTTAAAATAGAATTTATCAATAATTGTCATAATTAAATAATATTATACATTGAAAATGTTCAATAATTTATATATATCTTAAGGGGAATAATATCTTAAGGCCAATATCGGCATTAAATTATGTGCCATTGGCCAGAATAAAGAGTTTTGAGTTTTTAATGAACCTCAAACTGTTTTATATACAAATAACTGACTTTCATAATTTAAAAACTTGTCTTGTAAATAATGATGATGTAAATAACTTAATTATTAAAAATTAGTATAAGAAATTGTCAAAATGGGTTATTCCAGAAAACATCCATACTTCCTGGACAGAGGAAATTAAATATTAACCTCCTTATCCCCTTCAGATGTCTCCTGATACACTAACTATTATCAGAATCACATTTTTCTTCCTCTGCCCCTCTGGATGGCAAAAGTTTCCCTCTGTTGGGGGAAGTGTGGATATTTTCTGGAATGGCCCAATGTCATGTAATTAAAACTTTTTTTGAAATATGTTTGCCAACATTTGTGTTTGCTGTTGCTGTTTTTGCATCAGAGCAATCATTTGTTGCTGCATAAATCCAAATTCTTGCTGCTGCTGTTGTTGCTGCTGCTGTTGCTGCTGCATTTGCTGCTGGAGATATTGCTCAGAAAGCTGCATCTGCATGCCAAATTGCTGTTGTGTTTGCTGCATCACTTGCAAAATTTCCAAATGTTGCATCCTTTGTGCTTCCATATGTTCTCTCTTCTCGGTCTGCTTTACTTCCTTTTCTTCTTTCTCCAACTCTATCCTCTCTTGTAACTATTCCATGATCTCTCCTGATCTTCTCCTCTTTTGTACTGTTCCACCACTTTCACTCGCACCTCCCATCCTTTTCCTGGTTTGCCCGATCCGCTCCATTGCTCTTTCCCTCATCTCCAACGCTTGTCCTCTTTCATTCTCAATCCTCTGATTTTTGGCCTCAGTCTCATTTTCCATCTGCCGGTCAGTCTCGTCTTCCACATCGATCAATTCTTCCAGCAACATTTTATCCTCAGTTAGTTCAGCACCACCTTCACCTGTTGCTCTCTCTTCTCTGGCCATTCTAGCTCGATATTTTTTTGATATCATTTTATAGTGATCTCTGACTGCTCTCGTTGTGATGTCTTGACCCATAACGCTCATGTTGTCAGCCACCTTTTGCCACTGCACACCCCGTTCCCTCGATCTCTGCTTGTGGATGAGAACACCTTCTGCGGCAACTTCTTTCAGCAGTGCAAGGTCTTTTTGTTTCGACCACACCATACTGGACCTAGTAAAATATTATATAGCTATAGTAGCAGTACTAGCAACATAATTAGCACTGCATGGGATAAGTATACTCAAGCAAGGTACCACAATCTTGTATGTGCACACTACTTACTTGAATATATGCATTTAAAACTCAAAGGTTCATTTAATAATTTTTCAGACTGAGTTCAGGCTTTCAAGCATTAGTTATATTAACATAAACGTCAGCCTATATTATATTTGGATTTTTAGTTACCTTTTCTTCAGGCAGTCACTTTTGTCTTCCATAGCTATAACATTAACTCTAAAAAGATCACAGAAATCATCTTTAATTAAGAAATGCTTTGCACACTAGGACCACTAGCTGTGTGCAACTAGTATACTAAACCGATATAAAATAATCTACTTGAAAACTATTGACAAAACCCTGAAAACCGTGTGAACTTTAATTGCCTTTAAAACCGTAACGAATACAAATATATTAAAGAATTAGATCATATATATCTTGCTAGACAGTTGACACTGGCAAACAGGTGAATCTGTAGCTTGTTACGACGGTTTGTTATTTGTATATGTTTGTTTATTTTTGGCCATCTTAGCAAAACCATTGCAAAACCGGAAACAAATTTTGCACAACTTGCTACCGTTAATTATGCGACTATAATCAGTAAATTTGCATAATATAACAAAATAACAAAACAAGGTGACTAATAAAACTTATTTAATACCTCTTTTACTGTGTACATACCTTTTTTACGGGAAAAATAAACACAAAAAGTTGACGTCCTAGGCACGACGTGAAAACTTGCTTTTGGCGTCCTGAAAATCGCTAAGACTACGTCGCCATCAACACGACGCCACATTTTCGCGCCATATTACGCCATCTAACGTCCTCTTGACGTCCGCGTCCTCAATCTAAATCTGTCTATTTAGATCGAGGACGCGGACGTCAAAGACGACGTGAAAATGGCGTGTTGTGCCCATGTATGGATAGTCACGCCATTTTGACGCCATTTTCACGTCGTCTTTGACGTCCGCGTCCTCGATCTAAATCTGTCTAATAAACGCTTAAAAAACAACAATAACTTTCATCATTTGAATAGTTCGAAAATGTATTTGGAATAGCTTTAACTTAATGTTCAAGTTCCCTGTTTAAGAAAAAGAAAACATACGAGTCTTCTCATTTCATGGGAATATCCTGAGTCTGCAATCACGGCTTCAATTTTTGAATTGCAGAATAATTAGATGCACTATCTAGTGTATATAAGATATCTATGCTCCCAGGTGGTTAGGTCTAAAAATGTATAAAATTCACACTAGAAATTTCCATTTACAAAAATCCCTTCAACATTTACTTCTATCGAGCGAGATGTCCAAAATCCTGGTATTATTACTGTACCTTGTTTTCTGCTCAACATAGTAGCTTCATCAAGCAATGCTCTCAGAATGTCCAACGATACTTGTCGTGTATCTTGTAAGGTTTCCTCGACTTTCTCAAGCCATCTACATTGATGTAGTTCTTGTTTCAATTTTGGTATCTCTGGTAGGTCGACATCAATCGCTATTGCTGTATCTAAAAGTTGCTTCAGTTTGACAGCGTTAGGTTCGGCTTCACGCAGTATATCTTGGGCTTCGCCTTGGAAACTTTCCACTCTGTTCATTAAATCCTGGAAAGTTAACGATTAAAAATATTAGTAGAGAAAACTAAGAACAGATCTTGAACAGGGCTAGCAGACTTTACTCGATTGTTAGGGGAAACCCATAAATGGCAGTTGTCCCACACCGAGGGATGATCGGCATTCATTTCCTTGAAGCTGCCGTGGTGTGTGCCTGAAATATACATTAAAAAACTTCTAAGTGTCAGACCATGCATTCGTTATGAGGTTAGCAGTTAGAAGGCTATAGTAACCTCTTTACGTTGATCGTTTGTCAGAACAATCAAAGTGTTTTTAAATCGGCAACTTATTGAAGAACACACCTTTCACTAGACCCTCGCGTCTGAGATATAATATGCTGATGATGATAGTAACGATGATAATGATTGTAACGACAGTACTGATGATAATAGTGATGATGACGATAGTGACGATAATTGTGTTGATGATGATGATGATAACGTCGAAGTTTAGACTATGTATGTCATGTTAATGAATGATATGAAGACAGCTCACCTGGACAAGTTCTGCTTGATCTATAACACAAGGTAATCGCTGCAACTGACTACAAAATTCTTGTAGTTCTTCCAAGTTTAAACTAGGCGAGATCGTGCTGTTACTTAGAACATCCGCAGTCCTGAAAGTAAAAGAAAACTTGGTCAACAACTTCCTAAAACCTACTATAGGTTTTCACTCCTAATATTAAACACGGTGTCTCAAAAATGCAGTAGCTGTGTTCCAGATTTTTACACAACTAGGTGGGCATCGAAATTTAATCTAAGAGATGAATTTTGACACTAAATCGTTAAAATTGGTCTAGTAGAACCATTGCTATGGCTGTTTTAAAATAAAGTATGGCACAGCCAATGGACCATTGAAGTCATGCATCAGTTATATGTTTAGTATCAATAGCTTTGATGACCTGGAGACCAATTTTGATAATCTTTGTGCCAAAATTCATCTCTCAGATTGAATTTTCGATGCCCAGAAATAATTAGCTGTGCAAAAACCTGGGACACGGGTCACATTGCATTTTTAGGGGGACATCCTGTATAATGTACCCTGGATAAGAGATAGTTACACGACGACATAAACTATTGAGAGTGAACCATGGATGTACCATCCTTACCTCGTACGATGTTTCTTAGTCACAAGTTGAGTGGCAACATTCCCGCAACGTTCGGCTTCCGCAACAGCTGCCTTCACTTCTTCCAAAAGATCACACTCAGGGAAATGACTTTGTTCAGCTGTTGTTACCAATTCACGTAGCGTTGCTAGAGCTGAACAAAGGTAGATAGAGCCGGCATTAATATCATTACTGCGTACTTGGTGGCTGTTTAGGGGGGCCCAGACAGTGGACAACTTCAGGACGTTTAAAGTGATAAGAACAAGCAAACCAAACTAGATCACTGACATGTCTATTCATTGGTCATCAAACAGAAGATTACTTCAAGTAGTAAAAATATTTTACATTATTTCCTCACTCTGTTAACTGCTACGACAATGTATTGCTATAAGTCTATGAAGCAAAATATTATGAAAATATAGAATACGCTTAAATAAAACTACACAAAAGTAGGTTATATCCTTATTTTATAGTAAAATCCCGGTCATTGTTACGGGAACATTTCAAGCTCTAGATTAACAAAATAAAGGTTTGATAAGTGTTCCAACTATGTTTTAACTTCAATAGAATACATGATAGTGTTGGGAAAGCATAAACTCTCGTGTCATCTTTTCCTCGTTTGATTGATCCTGGCTTAAGTCGAAAAATAAACTTTGATGTTTTACACCAGTCTCAAAGGGTGTAATACTTACAAACTTTGGCTTGAGCGGATGCATCCAGTGACCGTCTTACTTCACTTGCCCAGTTATCAAAAGAATCAGCTCTTCTCTTCAACTGTGCTAGCATACCATGAAGTTCCTCCAGGTTATAACGATGTCTAAAATGCAGGTAAGAGATTGTCACCCTCAGAGCACTCATCAAAACATAATGAAAACCCTCGTAGTACTATTAAGACCAGCATTCCTCGCGGGCATCAAGCCTTGTGACGTCATTATGCATAAGGCCTATTCAGTGAACGTTTGGTGCAACATGCATTACAAAACATATCTAAGAGAGAAACACTGCTCACCTTAAGACATAGTTCGTTATGCCACATTCACTGCAGTGGTCTGGTGCACACTGGATACAACTCAGTTTTTCTGAAAAACAGAAATCACATTAAAATTACATCGACTGTTTGCACATATTACACAAACGATTACTCGCACTTACTGTCAGCACAGCGACATATGACCGCTGACAAGAAGCATGTTGTATTGCAGACAACACACTGTCGTTCATCATCAGGCAGCAACTCAAAGGTTTTTCGCTCTGTCTGAACAACACCCTATAGGAAGGAGATAGGTACAAACAGTGTTTAGAAATTTCACCAATACTGGAACACTATTTACATTTAACAAATATAAAACATTTTCCGTGTTGATATACAGTTATATCAACACGAGTGGAAATTGGGAAAACGAGAAATTGTGTGGAAACACGACGCCCGAAGGGCGGAGTGTTTTCACACAATTTCGAGTTTTCCCAACTTCCACGAGTGTTGATATAACTATATATCAATACGGAAAAAATGTTTTATATTCGTTTTATAATATAGCAATGTCAAAAGCCCGAAGAATAAGAAAAATTTCCGTGTTACAAGCGGCGGAAAATTTCCCGTGTTGACATGGAGTTATATCAACACGGCTCTTAGCCAATCAGCGTTCAGAGTTTACAAATCTTATATTATAAATAACTATATAAAACTAGTAGGTTAGATTATGAACAACAGCTTAAGTTGAAAGAACGGCAATTAGAGCAGTAGATTTTTCAAGTGCGCATTCCGTTAACATCGAAAGAAGAGTCTAATTGAGAAGAGTAGTGAATATTGAGCTGGAAGTTGGCTTACAGGATGAAACAGACGAACTGTTACACGAATGATCGCATCTGCATGTTACTCTTTATAGAAATTATCCCCCCTCCCTCCCCCAAACAATGTTGGTTTCCAATCATGGCATGGTATGGGGGGAGGTGTGAGGGTAATTTTAACAAGGTAACATAGCAACCAAGATATAAGAATGGATAAAGAGTGACAAGCAGGATTACACGTCATTATTTAACATACAGCAATTAGCGCAGTACTCTGCTTAGAGATTAAAAAATTGCTTCTTTGACAATTGACCATTTGCGTAATAGACTAAATTTTGAACTAAACAAGTCTAGACAAAAATTTCATCACAGCTTGAAGGAGCATCACAAAATTAGTAATATTGCAAAGTTTCGTTGCAAAATGTTGTAAAATGCGGAAAATATAGCCTTGCGAAATTTGCATTTTCAGTCATTTTAGATTACAACGGGAAATTGACAGCCCCAAACCCTTCGAGGCTGTCAATTTCCGGTTTGTAATCTAAAATGACTGAAAATTGCAAATTTCGCAAGGCTATATTTTCCGCATTTTACAACATTTTGCAACGAAACTTTGGAATATTACTAATTTTGTGATGTTCTTTCAAGCTGTATTGAAATTTTTGTTGAGATCAAAATTTAGTCTATTACGCAAATGGTCAATTGGCAAAGGTTCCGAGTCTTCTGACTGAACGACAGGTGTTAAGTGAGACGAATTACTGCTACGGTATTGTCCAAAATGCAATTCTGCTAACGAAATAAGTTATCCATGATTGTAGTCTTGTCGAAATAGAAGAACACTTGAGTCACTGCATATAAATTATGCAAGCTGAGGTCATTGAAGTCACAGACAACAATGTCAATACCCACCCAATATCAACTTACATTCCAAACAACACCTTCCTTTTCTTGGAAGAAGCCACCATGGCGGCTTCAAGCAAGCAAGACGAGGAGTTTGATAGCTCGTTTGTCGACAATTTCTGTTGCATTATTTGCAACGAGATTTTAAAAGACCCAGTTCAATGCCGGGCAAATGAGCACTACTTTTGTACTGAGTGCATAACAAAGTATTTACGAAACTCGTAGACTTGCCCGACATGCGTGGACACACTCACGCTCGAGACGTTGCGACCGGCCTCGAGAATTGTTGCCAACATTGTATCGCAAATCAAGAAACCACGTTGTAGTTATGTTTCCCGAGGATGCAAGGAGAATGTTAAAGTCGAAGAGCTGCTGTTGCATCAACAGACGTGTGATTTCGCTCCGGTTGCTTGCTCGCACAAAGGCTGCGAAGCAACGGTGAACAGACGTGATAAAGAAAGCCATGAAAGCGAAGCGTGTGTGTTTAGAATGACGACATGCGAGTCGTGCTCGGAAGAGATGACGCACCAGGACTTTGAGAAACACCAGTGCACTCTGCGGAAAGAAATTAACGAAATGAAAGTATGCTTGGATGAGGTGAACGCAGCCTTGAAGCAAATCACGGAAACACAAACAGAAATGCAAGCAAAGCTCGTAGAACACGACAAAGCTATCAAAAACTTCCAAGATCCACTGCATTGTACAACTTCTGCTATCATTCAGCGAGAGAGTACAGTTATCAAAGGACAGATATTTGTTTTCGGCGGACATGATGGACGAACAAATAAATCTATTGAAGTCTTTAACTGGGCAACAAAAACATGGACTCTGGTCGAAAACTGCTTACACAGAGCGCGACACCGATCCTTTTCCTTTCTTTATGGCAAGAAAATAATGATTGGTGGTGACGGTGGTCAAATTGAATATATTAACCCTAGCGAGAATGGCTACACCTCGACAGCTTTTCCAACTTCTTGTTCAAAGAATGGTGTTCTCTATGGAAATCGAATAATAAGTTTTTATTCTAGCATACAGGAAAGAACACTTGAGCCACCATATAATGATAAAACACTTGTCAGTGATAGTCGTACCACGGACAGCTGCAGTGTACAGCGTGTAGGCGATCGTATCTATGTGGTTGGAAATTCATATAGTTCGGTCGAGCTTTACGATGTACTTGACAATGAGATTAAGACACTACCTGCGTTACCGTATCGAGTGACGTGTATGGCGACTGTTGCTTATAAAGACAGCCTGGTTATTATCGGAGGCAATGACGAGAGGGTAGCACTGGATAAAGTTTACATGTACAACATCCTCACTTTAGAGTCCAAGCCTTTGCCTTCCATGCGTGAAGCAAGATCAAGATGTGCTGCAGTGATCATGGGCGATGTTATTGTAGTAATGGGAGGTCAATCTGGTGGCACTAAACTGAAAACTGTCGAGTATTACGTGATTGGCGATAGTGCATGGCAAGAACTTTCATCCATGCACTACGAAAGAGAAGGCGCCACAGCATGCGTCTACGTCTGAGCTGAGAAACAACATTTCCTCTATTAATTAATGAACATGACCAGAATGCTTCTTATTCACAGCAAGTCTAACTTACGACACTCTTTGCGATATCGATAGGTAATCATGAACAAAAATAAATGATAAATATGTGTAAAAATATATACACGAATTAAAATATATCATGAAATCTTAAATGATTATTGTACTCATTATTTGCACAAATCCCCAACTCGTCAATTTGAGCAAAATTATTCAAAATGGCGGTGAATTTTTTCCATTTTTTACAATCTCTGAAGGTTTATCAAATGAAACTTCAGTATATTTGAAAACGAACGCAGTGAATAGCCAAAACTTGATAGTACGTTTTGAAAGGCACGGGTGAATAAAGTTTGCCAACGCTTTATATTCGCTGCGTATACACCCTAAAACGGTACCGCACTGTAGTACTATGTCTGGTTCGTAATTTTGTCATCTAAATAATAAACAACTCATCATAGCGGCTCGCTCTGCTATACCTATATAAAGGAATAATGTGATCAATATACAAACTGAAACCTGCCTTTTGATGTCACGTGAGAAATATCATTGAACGTCACTTATTAACAAAAGCAATGTGGGTGCCTTTTCCCAGTACAATGTCTGAGCATGTTTTTTATAAGTAAAGTTAGTGTTATTAGCCCAAGATGTTGGGCTGAAAACACTCACAGTGTTATACTTCGACATATAGCCTAACTTCATGAGTTGACTTCAATACTGAGATCGCTATTGTTGGAATTGGAAGTCAACGTAGTATATAATAATCACGTACCTTGTCCTTGAGCTCCTGTTGTAGTTTACTTTCGTGATCAACCATAGACACCATATCATCATAGATAGCTTTAGCCAAGCTCAGATCAAGATTTTCAGGATTGGCCGCCATCTTACACACCAATTCTTCATGTGAGAACACTATCGTACGGTTCATTCGACGGTAATGAGAGACACACAGATGTCCCATCGAGAGCTGAAAACAGATTTAGTACGAGTACGCACTTGAAATGTGATGTAAAGCCTTTTAAATTTGATTTGTCCCGACTGACTGCCTCCTTGCTGGTGATAACAAAATATGGAGTCACTCGGCCACTGGCATGCAAATAGAGGTAGGCCTAATTAAGATAGTATACTAGTATCCAACTTACGGTTTATAAGGGAGAATCATTTTGTTTAGTAACTTGAATTGTACTTTGTAATTGTAAATTACTCCCTATTAATTGTTATTCTAAATTACTCCATCATTACTCCCTATGCTACAAAATCCCTTTCTGGCAAAGTTTGAAATACAACTACACAGAGCTTGTTTATTCGATTACATACTCCAGAATATACTGTACCAGGGAATAATGGGGGATCTAGGATCTCAGAATATTTTCAGACCTGGCTTGGCTGGCAGAAAGTGTTAGGGCATTGCATAATATTAACAGATACAGATAGTAATTTAGTAAGCTCGGCAAAAAGCTTTGACTCCAAAACTTAGGATACCAGAAACAAAAATTCTATTTTCCTGCCATGCTCCAGAATACACGAGAAATCACAAATCGCAGCGTGTAAACCTTTAGAGGAAGAACAAGCAGTTCTCAAAACTAAACTTACCCAGTCAGCTGTGGCGAAGTTGACAGCCTCGGCAAGATTATAACCCTGGTTAAAGCCAGCATGGTAACTTCGTGGGAACGTCACAATAAACTCCCCGGCTTCTTGGTTAGTCCGCACGACCGGAACACCTTTCGACATGAGAACATTCGGGTTAACAATGGTCACGAGATGGTGTAGTAGGTCAGGATGGGCTTCGAATAATTCGGGTGCGATCTCTTGCACAACCTTCTCAAACTGTTCAGCATAGTCACCAGGGATGCCGTACCAGGTCTTTGGTTCACCCCAGTGTAGATAGTTGATGGAGTAACTCCAGTGATCCTCTGTATGCCAACAGAAACTGGAGAAACACATGCCAACGTAGAGCCAAGGAACCTGAGTAAGGACGCATAAACAGAGTATCATTTCACGGTGCAAAAATTCTCTAGATGTTCCAAAAAATATCTGAAATCTAGCCTACTTCTCCACAGGCAACTCTGTGGCTTCCCAAACGGCGAAATTTCAGGCGGAAATACATGCCTGTAGATTTTATTTTTGTGGAGGTATGGCTGCCAATATTCGAATGGAGCTAGGCTATGTCGGTACATCCATCAGGGGGCAGATCATTAAAGAGGTATGGACTAATAGCGGCTGCTTAAAGCGCCATTTTTTAAGCTCACAGTCTACCTCGGCCTGCTTCACGCCAGTTCCGGCTATTATGTAACCAGTCACTGAAAAACCCTGATAGGGAGTGTGCTGAGTGATATCTGTATGTTTGTATTATGTTCACAAAGCCGATTACACTATTACAGTAGTACCCTGGGGACAAGAATGGGTCCTGAAATGGCTCCTAATGATTCATGATGAGTTTAGAGTAAGTCCGTAACTCTATAGGCTATACTGTAGATAACTAGCTCCACATGGTTTTAATTTTCGTCTAATTAACCTGTAACTGTAGATTTAGATAGCTAGCTGCACTACTTCCACATAAGCTTTGGAGTTGGATTGGAGCTCCAAGATTACTGTCGTATATTTGCCAAGAACTGGGTGGTAACAGGGGACAAGCACAAAAGCATCTAGAGTTTTTGAAAGAGATTATGAGGGATCTGGAAGCCCCTTGCTGTCCCATCATACTCGGCCAAACATTTGTTTTATGTTTTTGACCGAGATTTGACGAAATTTCTTCGTTTGGGAAGCCACAGAATTTCCTGAACAGGAGACTATCTGAAAATCTTTCCTGTCCGTAAATCTGCATTTACCTTCATTCCAGATATATTACCGCTGACGTGGCTTAAAACAGAGTTGGGAAGTGATGGTAAATTGTTCAGATTCCACTTGGAGTTTGCATAGAACTAGAGGAAAGCATTATATAAACGATGTTAGAGTTGTCAAACTAAACACAGTGCTTTAACCAATGGCAGGCAATGCTATAATACTACCTCTTCTATGTTGTTATTGACATTTTCGTTGACTGGAAAACCACTGCCGTGTACAGCTGTATGGAGATCAGCACCATACTCAACCGAAACCTACAATGAAGCAAATTAATGTCGTTTTTATGCTTTAGACAAATTGCCTAATTAACTGCATCACTGCAAGGGGTCGGTTGTACGAAGGCCGGATGATAGCGCTATCCACCGGATAGTGATTTTTTCAAGTTTTGTTAAATCAGTTGTTGATTGGTATAACTGACTCGTATTAAAGTTTAGTATTTATAAGTTAAAAGTTTTTTACAAAGCATTTTACACAAAAAAAATCACTATTCGGTGGATAGCGCTATCTGACTTTCGTACAACCAGCCCCAGACATTTAGTCAGGAGGCCCTCCAAACGTGAGCAAGAGACTGGGCTGTCTTGTGCAGTGGTATTAGAGAACTTTTATTGAAGTTTTATGTTTTCGTAGTGTAAATTTCTAGTTGTAATTTATGTCTGGGGTTTTCCATATATCTAATTCGCCTTTGTTTGTTGTAATGTCTTTTGTTTTGTTCTCACATAGTATTGTAAATTTCCTAGCGAGTAGCGAGTTTGATTAAAGCTTCTTATAACATAGACGGCCACTTTTTAATAAGCGGCTATGGACGGCCTTGGGCCGGTTTTCCACTAGCGAATTTTTTCGCGCGAAGCGACCTTTTTCCTTTGTCGGCGTCCATTTTGCCACGTCTTGCTGACGTAATAAGTGATATCGACAAAGGAAAAAGGTCGCGAGAAAATTCGCTAGTGGAAAACCGGCTTAAGGTGGCTCCCTACAGTTAGTACAGTTTAAATACGATTTATATAGATCAGACTTCATCCTCGCGACCTGCGAGTGGAATCGTCGTGTTTACTGTTCGGCAAACATATTGAAACAAGCCGTGGGAAGTTTCTTGGCGTTTTTATCTACAAAGAAAGCCCTAGTTTTTCATTATAATCCTAATTTTTTTGTGAATTCGAACAGTACGTATGTTATTAACTAGTTTAACCTATCTTTTAGTGTGTTTTTACGTATTTACGTTCAGTATTGTCTTTCATATTGCTCAAAATTTTCAACTTGTTGTTTTGTGAGCTGTCAAATTGAAATGATACTGTCTTCTATTAACTCTTGAACAGTAGTGAACTGTTGCCGAAACTTATATAAGTTCTGTCAATCAATTCAATTCACAGGTATCGTTTTATCTTGTAAATCAAATAAAACAGTTATGAGTTGTTTTATATGAAAAGTTAAACTTGTAGTTCGATGTTTTGAAAAGTTTTCACACCGATTTTAACAACAAATACAAATGTAAACTAACACTGGATTTAATACAATGCCTATAATAGTGTTTTTTATTAGTATTTTCAAGATTAATATTTTATTTTCATATCAAACAAGTCAGAAATATCTGTTTTCTTATGTATTGCAAGCCAAAAAGTTGAAATCACTAAAAATCACAAACTACAATTTACACGCATGCGCAGATCGTGCTCATGTCGAGTCGATTTTTTTTTCATGCTGGCCACGCCGATTTTAGCGATGATTTTCTCGTGTTTTCTTCGGTGAAATTTTTTTAAACTTTGTATTTTTGTTATACAAGACGAGTGGTACAACATATCCAAATTTTAAGAAATTCTACAAATAACTTTTTCTGTAACCGTCATTCACGAATATCTCGAAAACTTATTTATAAATTCCCTTCAAATTTTGATATGTTTTTCCTTTATGGACCATAAATCTTAAAAAAAAATTCAGAAAAATTCACCGAAGGAAAATATAGATATTGTCCATTTATTGTGAAATTAGACAATAAAAGTGCAAAAGATTAAACGTCATGGTTGCCATGGCAACACAAACACTGTTTTAATTTGTTCATAAATGGCAGCACACAGCTTCTGAACTTTCCTGGAAATGATCATATTGGCTTGTCTTAAGTGTATCTAATATAAATTCGGTTCAAAGCGAACGATACTCAAAATACCTAGAATTTTAGAGAACTGTAGGGAGCCACCTTAAGAGAACGTTTTCTGTGCAAATCACAAGATTTGCGATATTTCTTGAATATCTCAAAAGTTATCAGCTGCTGTTTGATTACATACGTTTCGATACTTTGATCGAACAAAAGGTAAACTTTGGCCGGACAATGTCCGATGACCGGCACTAATTTGCAGGCCCGCTGGACCGTAATAAACGTACATTCGAAGCTAACACTTGATTAACTAGAAATTTGAAATCACTCCACAATATGCTCGTATACGTGTAATGTACAAATCACTCTACATTATGTTCGTATGCGTGTAATTGTACCTCCTCATCAGCGGAACCGATCAATCTCCAAAATTCTTTTTCCGTGACATCGTACGGAACAGACTAAATGGTAAAATATCCGCAGTTTAATATTATTCTGAAAACTTGGACTGACAATAAGTCACGTTTTTGGACGGGTTTAAGTTCAACACGACACCACAGGCTTACCTCTGGTGGCAAGCCAAAATAATCCGACTTAAACTTGTCAGCCATTTCACCAAAAGACTGTAAATCGTATTCCTTCTTGGACTGTTCAAATCCATAGATCTCCACAGGTTTATCATATTCCTACATACATACAAACAAATTGATCCAATGTATAACTGTCCAAATAACTGAATTGGCGCGGTCACGTGACATTGGTTAGCTGTTCTTAATGCTTTCCCAACACTATCATGTACTCTATTTAAGTCAAAATGTAGTTGGAACACTCATCAAAAATTTAGTTTGTTCAAATCTAGAGCTTGAAACGTCCCTGTAACAATTCGTGACTGCCAATCAGAGACCTACCCAGGATTAGCAATCTACCCGTCCAAAGGTGCTAAGCCAGCAGTTCTGCCCCTCCCCTCCCCAAAAACATCATGTTCCCTTGGAATATATTTGAAATCAGAGCTTTATCCTCTAAAAACGTGATTCTTAGCAGTAAAAAGAACACATGTAAAACTGCGCTTAAAACTGAAGAGCAAACAGCATGGTTGACCCCATTAACATAATCGCAGAAGTTTTTGTTAAAATTGGCTGGGAATACTAAATATTTCGCAAATACTTAGAGAATTGTAAATGTTTTACCTGTGGATGTATGTGTAGGGGTGTGCAGTGACTGCTCAATGTGATATTATAGCAAAATTTAAGCTTGTACGGTTGTACTAATTACTAAAGACAACATACTAAAGTTTTAGTATTTTTTACCCAACCACATTGAAAAATACTCGTCGAAATAACGGGTGGACGGGCCCCTGGCTAAGCCCATGCTGCCAACTCTCATCCTTGTTTGACCATACAGGGCTTAATAACACATATAAGTGTATTAGTGCTGTGCAAACTCCGGTTTTTCATCTCCGGCTCCGGCCGAATTATAGCTCTGAGCTCCGGCCACGTCATAAAATATTAAATAAATGTTTTACGATCACAGAACATTTATTAATATTATTATGAATAACCCTTTTCGCGCTTCCTAATTATCAGATAACATAACTCAGGAAACAAAACAGTGAAAACACTTAACCACGCAGAAAATATCTATATGGAAACCAGCCTCGAAAATTTTTTGACAGTGCTGCAATTTTTATATAGCATGACGCGAGGCATGACGCTAACACTCTCAGACTCCACAGCGCAATTGTTTGCACGCAAACAAAGTACTCTGTAATTTTCAAAAGGTTGATATTTATTTGTTTTGTACTTTTTTGTTATCTACAAGGTATGAATACACAGACTATGTAGCGCTAAGTCAGATGGCTTCACGAAAGCACGACGTTTGTAAGTTGCGATCGTATTACAGCTTTTCGACGCTGTTCCTGTGGGCTGTGGCAGTTTGAGTCTATGATGAATTCATTAACAGCAATTGGCAGTTTGCAGTAACTAACAATCGTTTGACATTTGTCTCATTTCAATTGTTTTCTTGTCATTTTGCCGGAGTTGGAGAAATGTAACTCCGGCTCCGGCATACAAAATTCTGCTCCGACGTCGGAAAAACCGCCGGAGCTCCGTCAGAACTCGGCTCCGGCAACTCCGGCGCACAGCACTAAAGTGTATTTCATCCAAGGGCTGATTTTCATTTTTTTAAAAGGAGGGGTGGAAACATTTCTAGTGGGGTGCAAGCAGCACCACTTAGTGACCTTTAGCAGGGGTTAGGCATTCGGGTTAAAGACTTTCACACAAAAATGAAGCAAAATTTTGGTGGGGTTGAACACTCCATAAGAGGGGTTAGAGAGATTCTAGGGGGGTTAACCCCCTACCCCCCCCCCTAGTAAATCTGCCAGTGGTTCCATCAAACACCCATACCTGTGCAATACACTTTGGACACCTCCACTCTCCTTTGGGTATGGTTGTTATGGGTGGTATCAAACAGTAGGTATGAAAACTGGCATCACAGCCATCACACAACAGTAGGCATTGACCATCATCACCAGAACTGCACATGTGACATAAATAGTCATCCTGAAACTGTCAATGAAATATCAAGATTTTATTATAGCAATAACATATTCACACACTAGTACATCATCTACTATACCCAGTATTAACAGTTGAAGGGGATTTTTAGAGGGAAATTTCAAGTGGAAAATAAATAGATCATACACAATTTCACACCTAACCAGAAGCAGCTTGCAAAAAATGCAACTACAGTATAGTTGGGTTAGAGCTTGACAACTGGACTCAGTTGGTTAGAGTGCTGCACCGGAATGGGCAATTCCAGCTATAGTCTAAATTTTAATACAAATTTTTTAAATTTCGCAGGGTTATTTTTTGCGCATTTTACAACATTTTGCGGCCAAACTTTGCAATCTTACTCATTTTAACATGCTCTTTCTAACTGTAGTCATGGATTTTGTTCTTTTTGCCCATTTTCACACCTAACCAGAAACAGGTGCGAAAAATGCAACTACAGTATGCAGTAGCTGGTTTAGAGCTCGACAACTGGACTCTCACTGTAGCTCATTAGAGAGCTGCACTGGAATTGCAGGGCCGTAGGTTCGATTCCTGCCAGAGGGCCTATAGTTGCATTTGTCGCAACTGCTCCCGGGTCAGGTCTAATTGAATGTATAAAATTCACACTCGAAAATTTCTATCACTAATTTCATTCTTCAACAAGATAACTTCAAGATTTATGATGGCAAATAAGTTTTACAAAATCAGTTTTACAAAATGGTATGTTGTTTTTGAAAATAACCAGGCTATAAAGTAGACCAGGCTCAGGGCTTCAAAATTGCGGTATCCCGATATATCCCGGCGATACCAGATTTTAAATTTGGATACTGGAAATCACAAGCTCAGTATCCCGAGGGATAGCTCAGTATCCCGAGGGATACTGAAAAAATTCTGTTCACAGCTGATATTTATCGACAAAATACCGTCGAAAATAATACAAGAAGATAAACAACATGAAGGCGATCAAATTTGACTGAGCAGGAAAGACATGCTCAAAAGAGTGCCAAAGCCAAGCAAAGTACAAAGAAACAAAGCGTTGTCAAAAATTTAAAATGGCTTGAAAAATTCCTTTCCATGGGTAATTGCTCGTGAACGAAAAGATGTTTTGCAAATGTGGGATACTAGATTTTCTGGGTGGATACCAGATTTTAAGTTGCTAGTATCCTGTTGGATACTGCTGAAGGCTGAAGGCAAATAACTAATTTGTTTGAAAGCTTATTAGAGTGGAGGAAGGAGAGCAGCTAGTGTTGACATTTGAAGTACTGATTAATTAAACAAAATAAGTGACACCCACCGGAGCTCCTTTTGAAAGCCCTGCAATACAATACTTACCAGTTCAGGATTGTGGTCCTGCAGCATCTTCTTACTAGCTTTACGTACAGGTCTTCTTCTTTGATACTTGGACTCATCCTCAGTATAAACAACATCTTTGACATCCTTCACATCTTTCACATCCTTACTCTCTGCTGCTGGCTCTATTTTGATACTTTTTGATGGTTGGTAATCATCTGTAAAAGAAACATATAGAATTCTCTAAAATTGCTTAAGGAGTGAACCTAGCACAACTGTACAGGCTGTTGTGAACATTTGGGTATGCACTGGTCGATGCTCCAGTGTATCATTCAAATTCAAATTGACTTTTTTATCCAAACCCAAAGTAATGCATTGATTTTGCTGAACATGAAACTAGTTTTAATTGCAATTCAATTCACTACGGCTGAGGGAGGTACAATATAACTTAATGGGTTAACTAAACAAATGGGCAGATAGTCTGATTTAAAACACATTAGCGCCAGTGTTCTTCCAATGATGAATAAAATAGTCTGGCATTTTTGGTACTCTGTATGCCGAATAATATATGCTTTCCTGTTTATTATACATTACTTCAAAAACCATCTTAAATCTAATTTCATTTTGCTAGCTTTGTATCTCTATCTGATTACCTCTACCTGATCACATCTAGAATCAAGGAATGAGATATCTCTACCTGAGCAACGTTCGGTCCAGAACGATGTGCAATTGCATATCACTTTTCCAAACGATGTGCAAAAAAGATCAGACTTGTGACTATTGATGAATGTCCATACATATTTATCAATCTGTTGTCTTTGTATAATTTACAAACAAGCGCTTTTGCATGCACACTATAGCAGCATGTTTGCCGACTGGAAGGTGTCAAATTTTAGCCACCATGACAGACCAACACATGACAAAAATTGTGCAAACAATGTTTAAAAAGTATTCAAATAATTAAATTATTGCAGTTTGCATTGATTGAGTAGATGTTTGACTGAGTAGCTAAGACAATCATGAACATATTTATAAAAATTCAGAGCCACATTCTATAAAGAAAAGTTGCACATAATTTTTTCTCAACTGATTCGAACCCTGTACCTGAGGTACTGGTATCCATTTTCTCTTCTTTTACATCATCTGATTCACAAACAGCTGTCATTTTAGGACCTGGTGCTAAGAATTGTAACTTCTTCAATTCTGAATTCTTTGAATAGTCAATTGACAGCTGCACCTAAAATGTACATCAGATACTTCAAGCCATGTCACACAATAATTAGGCATTAATTTATACTGCAACTTTCAATATATTTTCACAAAACAATAATCACACTAGCTATTGTGTAAAAAGTAATTTCAATGAAAAATAAACTATGCAGTAACAAATTATTTCTGGCCACAAATGTTTTTTTAAGTATGTTTGGTAATGTCGAATCTCCCTGCAAATTGGGAAGTTCATTCAGAAGTTGGTTAAAGGCCAAATTCACATGTGTTATGAAATTCACAAACAGCTTTGTAAACAAACCAAAAACCATGTACATGATTAGTTGTTACACGGTTGCTTGTAGGGCTCTTTAACCCATTGAGTGGTCATGCTCTCCCTGGGACGAGTTTGGCTTTAGACATAATAAAATAATAAAGTAGGGCACAACAGGGTGCATTGTCATTACATTCAACTCAAGGGTTAACCCATTACATTGCACTCTATTTTATTATTTTTCTCTGTCTAATATGATTTTACTTGTCAAGGGGAGCACACAGGTGATCAATGCGTTAAGCCAGAACAAGATTGTGCAGCACACAATCATATTTGAAATTCCATGATAAATTTGTGGCCAAAGTTTTGTTAAATTAACTGTAAGGGTACAGTACATTAATTAATTTAAGATAGACAAAATAATCCCTTAATCAAATTTAATTTGCACAATAAATCTCATAATCACCTGTTCTTGTCTGATTTGACGTGCGGATTTTCTCATTCTCCCATCAGGTTCTTCTCTGGGTTTGGTGGTACGCTTAGTCTAAAATTACACATTATCTATCATATTAGTTACTATTATATAACATAAAAAGTCTGTCACTCAATTGATTATTGGGCCTTTAGGCTTTAGCCATCAACATGTACAATCTAGGTATACTTGATTAACCTTAAGATAAATTGACCAGGGTTTGAATTAGAGAGGAAAATCAACTAGCAAATTTCCTTTGTGAAAAATATTTTCTGTGAAATTTTCAATTTTGCAAAGTGGAAACATTTTCATGGGTATATTTTGAAAGAATTTCGGTCATATTCTGCATTTTACACCCTAAGTTGTCCAGTTACAAAACAAGTTTGCACATCGCAAGGCTTGAAATAACATTTCTAAAGTTCTCGACTTTCCCTGCATTTTCTGATTGAAAATCCTACCGATCACAAACATTCTCTTGCCGATCATCAATTGGTTGTTATTTCAAGCCTTGGGCCCCTGACATTGTTTGCAAAAATTATTTATAATTTTTACTATTTGACCTAAAAACAATGTGTAAATTGCATGCCGCTTTGTTCTCCTTCTACTCTGTAGAGGAAGAACAAAATGTCGTGGATCATTGCGGCAACAACGGCAATTTTTTGCCGTATAGGATAATATTTATACTATTCACAATGCATTACTATTTTGATACTTGGATACAGATGTTGATCAAATCATGCGTAAATTACTATAAATAATTTTAGTCTCAGTTTTCTTCGAAAAAAAAAAACAGTAGAGAAATACGTAAACATGTTTCTAGCTTGTCAGCAATCCAAAGTAACAATAAAATTAAATTTTTAGTATTACAGTAATTTGAAAAAATCTGTGGAAACTGCCAAAATTACCATATACAGCTGTTACGTTCTATGGCAATTTTTAACGCCATTGCCATCGATTGATTTCAGGGAAATTCGAGGCCTGCCATCATCTGATCTCAAGTTGTGACCCCATCAAACCCTCATAATCGGACAACTGCATAATCCCAAAACTGCATATTAGTCACAGACGTTAATTGCACCCTAATGTGCCCTACTTTATTATTTTACTCTAACATCAGACGATTTTAGTTAATTAATCATCAAGGGAAGGGGAGACAAATTGTCAATGAGTTAATTAAATTCCATTAATTAATGTCCACTAACCATTAATACCTCATTACCAAGTAACATATCAAATGATTTCATGATTGTGTAGATGTTTTATTGTGTTGTTTACATCATTATTTGTTACCTCTGTAGGAGTATCACCACCAGTCATGAGACCAGATTGGAAAACATCGTAAGGAAACAGCAATTTTTCATAATGGTTTCTAAGACATGCTGGTACAGATTTTGTTTCCAAATAACCCATCTAAACAAGAATTGAAACATGACCATTTGTAGGAAGTCAAAAAGGCAGTTAGCAAGTAATCAAGCTATATAGGAAAAAATATCAAATATAATGCTTACAAGTATTACTAGTGCTGGAAAATGTCTGGTAGCTGGCATCAATAGCACCACTGCCACAAAATTGTTAAAGTGCCTAGGCCTAAAAAAAAATACCTGTGGTTCCAGTTCCCGACCGACCCTATTTTTTTCTGCCGACCCTATTATTTTTTCAACCCGATTGACTGTGCGACCCTATTTTCTCCGTGTGGCTGCGGCCTGCTGCCAAAAAGTGTCTGTTGTCACACTAATTATTGAAAAAACCATGAAAAAAATATTCAAAAAAAAAATTATTTCCGACCTGCCGACCCCAATTTTTTCGCGATATGAAACCGGAACCACAGGTATTTTTTTAGGCCCTGTGCGAGAAATTTTTTATGATTGAATTGCAAAGTTCATTTAAAATCACAACGTAACTTTTTTTTCTAAAACTTTGTTATCTTTCCTGTATGTATATCAAGATATTGGACTTTGTTTGGAATACAAATATGACTTAAATGACATCACATTGCATAATGTATTTTACAGAAAACTGTTTTTAGCTTGATAAAATTGTCATTAACTTAAATTTGCAGATGAAATGATAGCTTTGATACGTCTTAAAGTATATAACTTTCAATGTCGGTATTATCATGTGTTTGGCAAGGAAATGTTTTCTTTCTAAAAACTCATTATGCAGTGTCACGTCATTTAAGTCAGTTTTGCATATCAAACAAGTGGAAAATCTTGACATACAGGAAAGATAACAAAATTTTAGAAAATAAGTTACATAAGTTTTAAACAAACTTTGTTTTAAGTTTTAAAAAAATAAGTTTTAAACGAACTTTGCAATTAAATCATAAAACAAATTCTTGCATAGGCACTTTAATAAAATATACTTGCAGGAAATTTTCGTACATATGACACTAAATATTTGTCATGTTACATATCAAATACTGGACTTGTTTAAAAATTCCACAAGTGTTTTGCAAGTTGAAATTGTGTTGTGCCAAGATTAGAGTTAATCATAAAGTGCAGCACAATACAATATATTTTCTGAAATCTACATTCTCGGAAGAGAAACATATTTTCTAGCCCTAGGTAATAGACTTATGCTGGGTTACAAGCATTATGATTTGCTACAGTATTTGTGCAGCAATCAAGCCAAACATCATAACGGTCTACTTTGGCAAGACTTTTTTTATTGGTTTACGGATTTTACTCGAAAGAAAACAGGTTGGTAGGTCGGAAATTTTTTTTAAAAACATTGTTTTTCAAGATTGTCACAACGATAACATTGAGCCAGTAGTCAAAGTTTACTACTTGGCATGTCAGAACCCCAAATTAACTAAAATTAACTAAAATCGTAAAATTGTTGACATCCAAATTCTTTTTATTTTTCACTTTCTGAATATTTACGGTCGGAGGATCCGTAAACCAATGAATAAAAAAAGTCTCTCCTTTCTAGTGATGGCAAGAGCAATATTCTGATCATGAACTGACAGACAAATGATAGATTGGTGTATGCAATTAAATTGTGCTGCCAAGGGTGACATGGATAACTCCCCTTTTGATAATACTGTCTGGTATGTGGATATATGTCTGACATGTGTCTAACCTTTTGAATTTAGAATGTTCATAATGTCTCTCACAGGTCTATAATAAACACAGGACTAGAAAATATATTCCTCTTTCTGGCAGTTAATCCAAAAAAAATATATGTAGCATAGGACAGACTATATTTCAGGGTTCGAAATAGCCGCCGTCTTCCGGCGATAGCCGGCAGTTTAGGACCTTGCCGGCGATTTTAATTTCAAAGCATAGAGGATTGGCGAAAATATTATATTTATTCATCGATGACTCGCTTACAATAACGCCGTACATATACACAGAACTTGTTAATGTTTGTTCCTACACCAAATAAAATGTATTATACTGCGTTCTTCCAAATGTTGTGTTGGTTTACATCACTATTGTTTGGCCTATGCCCACTCCAGAACATAACTAAACTTTGCTTGGAAAATAGCCGGCAAACATTTTCACCTACGAAAAACAGCCAACAAAATTTGACATATTTTCAGAACGTTATTTCCAACCCTGCTACTTGCAATTCTAGTATACAAAATGACAAAAATTTGTGCAAGATGTAAGAAGATTTTCTGTGAAGATACTTCATTAGAAATTTCCTGGCAGCGGTACTGCTGCCGGACATAAAATCTTCCAGCACTAAATAAACATACACAATACACCCTTTCAGAAAGTATGCCATTTTGACTATAGTTTGACCCTATGTGAGACTTGTTAAATCCAAAAGGCTCTAGTTAATTCTATAGCCAAAGTGACCTACTTTCCGGAAGGGTCTATTATATTATCAAAATTGTTACTCACTTTGCGGGCAACGACAGGCCATTTTCTTTTGGTTGTAACAAACTCATACCCACCCTCTTCATGAACAGTCTAAAAATTATTATTATGTTTGTGATTACTACACAGATAATTAACAATTATTCGCCGAAGGCGAGGTGATTATCGGGGAATATTCGCAGAGACAAAGTCGAGGTGAATATTCCCCGATAATCACTGAGCCTGAGGCGAATAATTGTTTTAGTATTTTTACACAAGCTTTTGTGTTTTTTGAGACTGACTTTATTTTAATTTCGCTTATTTCTTTGTCAGTAAACTTCCACAAAATGGCTAACCGCCATTTTGAAAATTTCTGTTTTGTTATGTTCACCTGTAGGTGAATATAACAGCTTATTACGTCAAATTTGACCAATCAACATGTAGGATTTGTTATGTTCACTTGTGTAAAAATATTAATCAGCAATAAACGCCAAGATTCCATTGTCATTGTCGATTTCAAGTCACTTTTCAACGCGCGGTTCCCACGTTCGTTGCGAACTTGACAATTACGTTTCCAAGTTCAAAAATTGGGTGTGAACTTCACAACAAAGTTCGGAAGTACATTTCAGTGTTTGAACTATTGTAAACAAATGTTCATAGTTCAAGTTGAAATTAACAATTCAATGGAAACTTCTTGGTCAAGTGGGCTACCAAGGTTTGTATTTCATTGAATTGGTTATTATTATTGAGTATGAACATTTGTTTACAAACGAAGTTCAAACATTGAAATGAACTTGCAAACTTTGTTGTGAAGTTCACGCCCAATTTCCAAACTTGGAAACATAATTGGCAAGTTAGCAACAAACTTGGGAACTGCGTGTTGAAAAGCGACTTGAAATCGACAATAAGGAGAAAAAACACCCGGTTTCCCAACCGTACCTAGCTTTTGGCCACTGAAATGGCCGACAATAATTTGGAGCAATTGTTGATGGCATTAGTTTTGTACAAGCTATACAAAGTACAACCTGTTTGTTTCAAACAAAGTTGATAAAATATTTAACAAATGTCTGTGCCATCTGTGCTGCTGTAATTGACACAGAATGTCATTCTCATGCATGCATGAGCATTCACAAAAAAAATGAAAAAAACAAACAAAACCCAACCTACCCTATCTGAGTTTTTGCAACAAGAAATAGGAAACCCAGGCATTTTGTTGGCCTAACCCATCCAAATGTTAACTCATTAAATTCGAGTCGCAGTCCTATTTTATTATTTTCATCTGTCTAAAGCTACGTTTACACACAATGATTAATCGGGACAATTTCAGGTTTTGACAAATGTCAGTTGACAGTGTCATCAGATGATATTGACAGCATATTTTTCAAATATCATTTAAATAAAGCTGAATCGACATGATTAATCGTTGTGTGTAAACATACCTTAACGCCAGACAATTTTACTCAACAACCCGACGATTTTACTCAACAAGGGGAGAGTGCTAGTGCTCAATGGGCTAATACCCAGAGTGATTGATCGATTGTGGAACAATTGGAAATTACCGACTACAAATTATTCATGCAACAATCTACCCAATACCTACCCTGGATTCCAGAGCCTTCGACAGTAAATAATAAATTGAAATGTCGCAAAGGCTCTGGTTCAACGGGGCGATTCTTTGATTAAACCGTGCCAATCACAAAACAGAATTAGTGGTTTTAGTACAGATTAAACCACGCCAATCACAAAACAGAATTAGTGGTTTTAGTACAGATTCAATTTATTATTTACTGTCGAAGGCTCTGGAATCCAGGGTACCCAATACCGATTTTGTATTGACATCTTGTCAGTCGACCGAGTAAAGGTGACATCACGCTTGATTTTTAACAACAATTTTCAAGGTAACATGTTACTGCAACCAAAGTACATAAATGGCACGCTTCGCACATTAATTTAACATATTGTGTTAAAATGCTACGTGTATGAACGTGCAAAGTATCTAATTTTTTCGAAGTGCATATTTTCTCAACAATCGGTTTTACACGATCGGAAATACAGATAATTCTGCCGATTCCGATTGTCTACCGGTGAGGCAAAAATTGTCCCGACAGTGATTATCAGTCAACCACTAAATACCGAGCATTATGCTGTTGATAACACAAGTAAACTGCATGGTTTTAGGCAGAGTAAGAGTACAAAGTGTAATAATGTAAAATTACAAAGTGTATTAATTAAGTGTAAAATGTATTAAAGCGCCCTACTTTATTCTTGTACTCTGTCTGACACCAGACGATTTTATTTGCCAAGGGCTGCCACTCAATGGGTGAATGGGTTCACATGGACAGATATTTTACTGCTCAAGGCAATGTGTTGGGTTAACCCATCGAGTGGCAGCACTCTCCTCTTGACGAGTAAAATCATCTGATGTTAGACAGAGTAAAATAATAAAGTAGGGTTCATTAGGGTACAAATATGTTCCTTGTTAATCCATTAGGCTGCAAAATGCATGGCCAAATGTAGTCAATATTGCTACGGGACTTTACTTTGCCTAAAATTTTACACTTCTACTAATCGAGGAGAACATATCGGGCTTTTACTTGCTAAATAGATCAAACATGTTGCTCGAACATATTTATATTGTTCGATAAGTCATGTTGGATCTATTTAAACACAATGTTGAGTAATATTAGTCGATGTTGGGTCAGGTTTCATTCGGTTTAAACGAGACTCCCATTTAAACAAATCCAACGACATTCAGTGGTGTCAGTAGAACATGTTGGACTTGCTTAAATGAATTTCTGAGCCAAACTGCAAACCTACATTTTAACATGAAACCCAATCCATTATTATTGAATTTATTTCATTGTTACAGAGTGAATACAACCATGACTATAGAACCACGACTATAAATTTAACATTACGTTAGAAACTGCATCATAACAAGTCAGTTCACACCAAGCCACCAAGAATCAACTGAAATGGTGAAATCTTATCGGTTGGCGTTTCTATGTGCGTACTAATTCGTGTCGCAATTGCAATTTCCATGTTAGGGTGAGGGGCCACAGTTTACCTATTGTTCTACAATTTCATGTCATTTTGTATCATTATTTTGCCAAAATGGCTTCCAAACATAAATAATCACCAAACCTCACCGAAACATTGTCATTTTCGATCATTTCTGCAAAGATTTAAGCCCGAAATCGCCGCCCCACTGAACAATGAGGCAAAAAAAACGGCAACGAAATTATGCAGCGAGGCAACATGCGTTTGTATACTCACTTTATAAAGTTTAAAAATGTCCAAATTCTTCTTGTCCACCATAGGCAGTTTTAAATTTGTTCCCTAATTTTGATAAAATGCTTAAAGTTAGGGGCATTTGGCCTATAATTATTAGCAGGGAAGCTTATAAATGGCAATTTTGACGGTTTCACGAAGCGCATTTTGTCGAGGACAAGTCTTCCTGCCTAGGCTCAGGCCTATACCTGCAATTCCCAAAACTTGGCGATGGCGTCCAAAAAATTGAATTTTACTCTTGTTGTCGCCTACAAAGAAAGTGAAATAAGCCGTTAATTAAGAAAGGAGACATAAATGTTTCCAGAAGAAGCCAATTTGGGGTGATTTACGTTGAATACGCGAAGATATAAACAGAAGAAATTATATACAGTCGGGAAAGATCAAACATGGCTACCGGGCTGCCAAGTTCACGTTACTTGGTATTCGTGCAGAAAAAGAAACATCTACATTTTCGTTTTGGTCTCACAACCCTGCCATTTTAGTTCTTCTTATGTTGTAGGACTTCTTTGAGTTAACGATGAAGGGATCTGAAAGTTCGATTCGTCGTTATAGCCCTGAATATGGGCAAAAAAAGAAGTGCGCTCGCGCAAGTTGCCTGAAACGCGAGTTCACAAAAGTTGAATAGCTTCAAATTTACCTCGAGTTCGTTGAGTTTTTGCACTCGAGGAGTAAATCTAAACTTCTCTACGTCCACGGAGAATGGTGGCTGCCAGTCCTAGATAAAAACCAAAGCAGTACAACGTGTCAATACGCTGTTACGATGCGCCAAAGATGGCAAAAAATCTTGAAAAGTTGGCCAAACTTACGGGCGGAGGGCGAATCTTGCAAATTCCAGTTTTTTCCACATACGGCCGTATCTTTGTTATAAACGCTAAAGGATCTTGAAATTCTTCTTCAGTCGGCTCAAATACAGGAGCCTCAGGGGGAGGCATAAACGTATGCTCTTCCATGAGGGAAAATTCTACATTACCACACACAAAAACAATTTAAAGCACACACTACGTCTACGCCAAGCATCGCCATATTTCTGCCAACCTTCCCCACTCGCCAGCCCGGATAATATAAACCACCTGTGTCACGTGACGTAATCAACATTTCTGATTGGTCAAATCAAATGGTAAGCGATCGCTGATTGGTTGATGTCGCCTTAATAAGTTTCCGCAAGGGAGAAACAAAGTACGCAATCTCCGTGACTACAAAGAAAGCGACAAGATTGGCATATCAATGCACGCAAATACATTTTTGACAAAATATCGCGATTTTCGCGTTTCCTGATTGGATATCTCAGTAATGAATTTCTGCAGAACAGAATTAAGTTTAGAAACTGAATTTATGCTTAGTAGGATAATATAGCTAGCTAGTATAGAGGTATACTATATTTACAGATGTTGAACTTGAAAGGCTATTATTCTATCCTGTCGTTCTTTCATCTTTTTACAATCAAATGTATAGTCATGCCGTGCCGGTAGATTATTCGTAGAATTACTGACCATTTAGAACATACCATAGTACATTTACACACGCATTATTAATTTGTTTCGAATGTTACTGATATTCAGTGTTAAGCAATGTCTAAAGTGTCTCTGTTTTCAAAATAATGAAGTCGAGGACCCAAGGTTTATATGCGTGCATGATGGCACGCTCTCTAAAATGGTATATTCTTTCATCATTAAAATGTATTACGTTTTTGATAAAGTTTCTAATAAGCCTTTAGCCCAGTTTAGGTGCACAAATTTTTGGGTAGGAATATGTAAGCAAAATTTAATAGGCTTTTAAAAATTTGATTCTTGTTTGGAAAGGTTTAACAGCAGGAAATTGACAAAAGAAAAACACAAAGGGAAAATGAAAATTCTCCAGAGTTCGATCCGCGTCGCATGAAAAAATTATTAAGAGTCTGGGAGCAACAGAACCATTTCATTGTGTACTACATGAAGTCTCACACTTGTCACAAACAAACGGTTGTTTCAAAGATGGCGGATTACTCGGACATAGAAGATGTAGCGATTTCATCTCCTTTACCGACGATCAACCAGCGTCTGGGCCATCTCAAACCATCGCGAGAACTGCTAGAGTATTATAGGAAGAAGATAGCAGAATATGACGGCGAACATGAAGATATTACGAGAAAATTGGAGCAGTATAAATGCACTTATGAAGAGCAGGTTCGAGCTTAGGAGTGGAGATTTTTAGTTTTCCTTTGATTTGATATATAAAATCTTGTTCATATAATTTAGTTTGGTCAGTTTTAGCTTAGGTTTATGCTTTTTATAACTAGTAATACACATTTATATTTCATTCGCCTCCTGGCAAATTAAAAACTCTTCGATAATTATGTCACAACTACACTGTTTTCAACTTAGGACCACCTTAATAAATGCAAAGGATTTCAAGTTTTTTCTTATGGCCTATGCACAGAGAAGCAGAACAACCTTCTTCAACACATGAAGGAAAAAATTTTGGATTTTGATCAATAAATATGGAAATAAGCATTACCACGGAAACGAGTCTCCATATTTATTGATCAAAATCCAAAATTCTTTTCGCGCATGTGTTGATGAAGGATGTTCTGCTTCTCTGTGCATAGCCCATGAATGAGAAAAAAACTTGAAATCTTTTCCATTTAAGGTGGTCCTGAGTTGAAAACAGTGTAATTGTGACGTAATTATCGAAAGAGTGTATTCTCCGATCCGAGTTTGCGTTATCAATTTTTAATCTTCACATAGTCTATGCTGAAACTTTCAATAATGTTTGGACGTTCAATGCGCGAGTTTATACGACGTTTTGAAAATTTTGTTTTTTTACAAAACAAATTTCCGCTGCAGTTAAATTTTTTTTTTCCTGTCACGCATTTAAACAATCATCTCATGATTTCTATAAATTATGTTGTTTTCATTACAAAACCATGTAATGTCGTGCATAAGGATAATGTTCAACTCCTGTTATTGGATTGCGATTAGCGTCAATGTTAATTACCAAATTTATAATGTGCCGGGTCAGATTTATCTCAAAAAACGTGGAAAAGATTAAGAAAAGATACTTTGTCTGATACTGTAATTCGCCTGTTTAAAAACGTGGCAAATGTCAATACGAAGTTTGCGTGTGTGCGCACTTTAGGAGGGATAAACTATCTATGTGTAAAAATACCAAAGGTTTTCTCCAATTTTCCCGCGGCTGATTTTAAAACCATGCCAGTATAGATCGCGTTATTCTAACTAATTTGTCTGCGTAGTTCGTTCAGATGGCGTTTAGATCTATTAGATAGCGTACAGGGTGTTAGCTACAGTAAAAAATTCCGCGTTAAACGCGGTTTTCCCAAGTATCTTGAGGTCGCAATTTCCCAATTTGGGTCAGCCAAAAAATAGTTATAGAAATTCAATGTTGTTAATACGCCATTAGAAACATGTTAAAAACTACATTGGCTCAAAATTACTCCCAAAATGCGGTAAATGCCATTTCAAAGACACAAAAATTTTAAAAATCGAGGGGGCAACCGCATGCCCCCAGACCCACAAAGAAATGCCCGGCTTCAGGCTAAAATAAATTTCCCAATTTCAGGGGCGGGTAAACGCGGATTTTTTTTTACTTCTGGCTAACACCCTGAGCGTACTTTTCATGTACCTAACTTAGGCCGCGTTTACACTGACGCTACGCGGGTTAACACTCCGTTAAAAAATTACTACGTTTCTAGTATTGAGACTATATTGTGTTTACACTATAACGGAGTGGTTTGCCGTAGCGTACTAACTACGAACCACCACATTTGCCTCTCTGAATACAAATCAATTTCGTTAAAAATTTACTACGTAGTACGTTTCTTGGTATTGTGTAGTTACAGTACTATAACGGAGTGGTTTGCCGTAGCGTATTAACTACAGACCACTACGTTTGGCACTCCGGATGCAAATCACTACGCTACGGTGAATTTGCCGTAGCGTCATAGTGTAAATGCGGCCTTAACCGAGTTGACGAATTAGGTATGACAAAAGAGCAACGTATCGCATTATGATATTTGCTGTTTTGGTGTAATGTACTCAGGTGAATAAGATGCTTGTGATGTTATTCTGAGTGTATATCCACACCGGGCAGGCTTGAAAAATATGCCTGGCCACGGTGGGAATCGAACCTACGACCTTTGGAATACTTGCCCAATGCTCTGCCAACTGAGCTACGCGGTCAGGTCGGTTCGAGCATGTAATACTTCGGAACTGAGTCTAGTTCCTTCGATATCAGTATAATGTAATAATCATGATATTTGCTGTTTTGGTGTAATGTACTCAGGTGAATAAGATGCTTGTGATGTTACTCTGAGTGTATATCCACACCGGGCAGTTAGTATCGCATTATGCAACTTCGAAGCGACAAACCTCAACTTTTTGTCAGAAGTTTGTTAGGCCCAGTTTAGACGGCGAACTTAACTTATTTATACGGCGCTCTTCTGTCGTACTTAATCGTTCTATTAGTTTCGGCGCATGAAACGTTCGCCGTCTAGACCGGATCTTAGTATTAGATTAGCAATCTTGTAATTTCGAAATAGATTTATTTACGCCGTTAAGTTATTGCATTGCAAACCTTGCGCGGTCAAATGAAATCTTTGCTGACGTGGATAAAATTTCAACTCCACAAGATGACGTCATTTCGTTACCAGTCCCATGCTTAAACAACTGTAGGGAGCCACCTTAAGTCTAATATAAATTTTAATTTTATCATAGCACAAGATGCAATGGGAAATGAGACAGCGTGAAGAAGAGATCAAGGAACTTCAGAAAGCGCTCAGCGACATGCAGGTGTATCTATTTCAAGAAAGGGAACACGTTCTACGTCTGTATGCCGAGAACGATCGCTTGAAGATACGCGAGGTCGACGACAGGAAGAGGATACAGCATCTGCTCACTCTAACACATCCCCCAGGAGGAGAGATTACGTACTTTCGTAAGAAGACGTCGGAGAAACCCGTAGTCGTAAAACACAAGAACCTGAAAGGGCAGAGTAGGAATGCGTTAGAGGGGCGAGGACCAGGAGGACATAAGAAAGGTAGTAGATTATGTATGGAATTAATCTGGCCCCTATTTACATTTCTGAATGGGTGCTCTGGGCAAGAAGTACAAAATCCGTCACCACAGGTAGAAAGAGCATGCTAAAATTAGTAAAATTGCAAAGTTTGGTTACGAACATGCACTTTCGGCCCAAATGTGGTGCATTTTCCCGCGTGTAATACAGTTGATACAAAATTTCGCAGGGCTATATTTTCCGCATTTTACAACATTTCGCGGCCAAACTTTGCAATTTTACTAATTTTAACGTGCTCTTTCTAGCTGCGGTGATGGATTTTGTTCTTCTTGCCTAGATCAAGATTTAGTCTATAGCTGGAATTGGCTATAGCTCATCCCAAAAGCATGAAGCGATCGCTGGACATTAAGATCGAATGATCAAGGACTGCTACACATCCCGAAAACTAACTGTAAGACCTTAGGTTCAGTCTTCAGGAAATGTTTGAAAACATTCCTTTTCAGTAAGGCTTTAACCTTTTATAGTCTAAGACCACGTATTTTATCATTTCTATCGTAGATATACTCACTAGTCTATATTTTAGCGTCAGTTATTATGTTACTGTATTCTTTGATCTGATTCTGTTTTATGTGGGCGATGCTTTTTTATGGGCGGTACAAATGTTTTTATAAAGCTCGCTTCAGCTGGACAATATTATACAACCAAAGGAGAAACAGATCGGTGGCGGCTCTGCTGGAGTTTCCCACGCATGCACTGCCGGCGACAATAGGAAGGTTTAGATCCGACTACGAAAGCGACCACGACGTTTATTGCTTTAGATTTGCTGCAGGACCTAGCCAGAATTAGCAATCTACCCATTTTTCATTCATTCATTCATACTTTATTTGATAATGCAGGTTAATTACATATGTCAACTAAAAGCGGATGTGGAAGTGCTAGGCCAGTACTGCCCCGAAACTCCAGACTTACATATATATCTAGCTTTTTCATGATATTTGGAGTTATACTTAGCTCCAAATTATTTTTGGAGTTAGCCAGTAACTCCACAATTCACATTTCAACTCAGTTTTGAATTACACAAGTTACTCAAGTGTATATTTTGGTTTGGAGTTGGCCCTTTAGACTACCGTCGCTCCATTGCTTCCTACTTTCTGCAGCCATACAAAGAGGATAGCAAACAGGGTGTGAAAATGACCTGTTTACGCGGTGTATCCCCATGTGGTAGCCCCTACACAAACAGGACGATTAATTTCTATCATGACGTGAAGTTGCAAAATATTTAGGTTTTTACTTTCCGCTTATAATGTAAGCAATTTGTAACTCTGAAAGTTATAAATTGAAAAGTAGTTTGTTTCGACTAATACAGCAATGATGTTTGTGATGTTACTCTGAGTGTATATCCACACCGGGTGAGCTTGAAAAATATGCCCGGCCACGGTGGGAATCGAACCTACGACCTTTGGAATACTAGCCCAAGGAAGGAACTAGATTCTGTTCCGAAATATCACATACATACTCGAACCGATCTGACCGCGTAGCTCAGTTGGCTAGTATTCCAAAGGTCGTAGGGTCGATTCCCACTGTGGTCAGGCATATTTTTCAAGCTTGCCCGGTGTGGATATACACTCAGAGTAACATCACAAGCATCATATTCAGCTGAGTACATTACACCAACACAGAAAAATCATTACTAATACAGCAATGTTCCTGTTTAGATCTAACGCAACAGAAATTACGCAGTAAATCACACACAACAGACACTGAACAAGACAATCAAACATTACTCTTACAAATCGAGTCCCTACAAGCTCAACTGGAAGAACAAACTAAACTCTCTAGAGAGGAAATCGAAGGTCTTCTCGAGGATAGGAGAGTTCGTAGCGAAGAACACAGCGCCTCAACGGAACGGGATCAAGACAAGATCAAAAGCCTGACGGAAAAACTTCACAAAAGTCAAGATCTCTTGTACCAAAGCACAAAAGATTTTCTGGAATTGAAGTACGATTTGAGAGCACGGGAGAGACAGTGGATGATAGATAGGGATAGATTGGTACAAGAGATTGAACATTTCAGGCTGCAGGTGGATGTATCGGGCAGCAGTATGCTGGAGGCAACCGGAGTGTCTGTGGAACCACAGGTTATTATTCTTCTTTTCTTTCCATATTTCCTCCGATTTAGAGTCGGGCAAAGAACGCCTGATCGCAGGTTGGGGCCGGACCTTCTTGTGTATCATAGGCCTCCGCCAGTCCAATCTTTTCCATAATTCTATCCAGTCAGCTCCATATATTATATCTGGAGTGAGAATTCTATCCAGTGAGCTCCATATATTATATCTGGAGTGAGAATTCTATCCAGTGAGCTCCATATATTATATCTGGAGTAAGAACTCGAGTCGAAAAAGTGAAGCCAAAGATAGAGCTATCCGGGCGTCGGTTTCATTCCCTTTCTGTTTTTGTCTACAAGGAGTGTGCCGAAATTTCTTATTTTGACTTCGATTTAAAGAATACAGTTTACGAGCTTCATAAGTATTGGTCGTCAATGGCCGCCATCATGGCTGCACTTTTCTCGTAGGCCGAATGACTAAAGTTCTTGCTCTGGATGTACTATTTACAACATGAGCGGCCGTGTTGTATCGGATATACAAACTCGAGCCGAAGACTAATCTTATGAGTTCATTGGCGAAGTAATTTTAAAAATAAACATTGTCTAAGCCGAGAAAATCAAAGTTAAAGTTTATGTAAATCAACATGAATCTGTATCACATATACAACACGCTTACGATTTTTCTTTGTGTTTTCTTCATGAATTATTAATGAGTTTTTAAAATATATATAGAGCTCGCTGGTCCAATCAACGTAAACATTCTAGTGAACTCTATGTCTTCTATCATCAGTCTACCAATGCTTTTATGGTTGAAAAAATATAGCTTTGTTACAATATTATTCAACTTTAAGAAAGGGGGGGGGGTGCCCCTCTATCCTAGTGTCCCTATAACCACTACTAACGCCTGTATTCTAAAACCTCACTCACACTCACAGAGTGGAGGTTCAATTTGAGCTTCCCTTGATTGTCATTGCTGTTTTTGAATAGCTGGAGGGTTAGTCTCGTACCTTACTATGTGACTACTCACTCTCCAGCTGTTCAAAAACAGTACTGACACTCAAGGGCAGCTCAGATTAGGCGTAAGTGTAATATTAATACATTTATAATTTCATGATGCAGGTCGCACAACTGCAGACCATCCAGTCACTGAAAGAGCAAGTGGAGCAAGCACAAAAACTCGCAGACATGTACCGGGAACAATGTATAGGACTGGAAGACGAGTTAGGACGAATAAAGGAAGAAACCGATGTAGGACTGGAATTATTTAAAGAGAGAAATGATAAAGTTAGCAAGAGATTAGCATTAATGAATCAAAGATACGCTGCCTTGGAAAAGAGGCGAGCATTGGAGGTTGAGGGTTTTAAGAATGATATCAAGATGTTGAGAAATAAACTGAAGAATGTGGAGAAACATTTGTTTAAGGTAAGGTATTGCTACTTGGTAAGAGTGAGCACGGGTGACGGAGTTAGCAACACAATCGATCTTCTCCAACTCTCTAAGCGGTGTTTCGGAACTGGAAACAATCGTTATGGTACCACTAACCCCAAACAGATTTTGGGTCAAAATATCTTTATAGTAAAAAAACTTTTCTTGATCAATTTTTTCACTGTCAAAGTTTGCAGATATGATGTCATTAGGTGAATTTTAGCAGCAAAAAAACAAAGGAAAACTAATTTACAATTCATCTCATGACATATCTGGCAACTATGACAGTGAAAAAGTTGATCAAGATGAGGTATTGTACTATAAAGATATATTACATTTCTTCTTAGAATGACGCAAATATTACCTATACCAATAACCATATCTTGGGGTTAGTGGTAGTAACTCCAGTCACCGAATACGTCATGCAACCACTGTGCCAGCATTCCCTCATATTTTTCTAATTTCTTAGGTAACTGTCGATGTTCCAATAGACGGTGACGTCGACCAAGAAGTATTACGTAATGTACATGCTACCGCTGCAAGATCGAAATATTTGGTCGGTGAACTTCATCATCTCAAAGCTAAAATTTACTCATTGGAAAATGACTTAAGACATTGCGGATAAATGATTTTGTAAACTTTAGAATAGGTGTTGTTTTTGTAAATATATTTTTGTAAAATAAAGGTAGACAGACATTGCTACGGTCACCTCCATCTGTGCTTTTCAAACTTGAAAGACAAAGTTGAAGACCTTCATTTGTTTAATTGAAAAATTAAAGAGACTTACCAGTAAGGTGAAGTTTGATGGAGATTCTACGAAGTCATTGGTCTGGAGCTAAGGAGTCAGGTGCCCACCCATAGTTAGGCATTAGTTCTAGCTTCCCATCCCATGATTAGATATGATCTCACTTAGTGTCTTTGAAGAATGAACCTCGTGGATCACGCGCGCTCGAACCTCGTGGATCGCGCGCGCTCTCACGCGACTCCTTAGCGAAAGAGACCAATGATAAAGTAGAATTCACCTTACTTTTACAACTCTTACTTTTCAAGTCCAGTCACCCATCATTTCTTTACATTTGACTTGCGTTGTGGTAACAAGTCATTTCTTGCAAGTCCAAGTTCAGATCACATTCCTAGCCTGCGAACAGGCTAATCACATTCCTCGAGTCTACAACTCTGCCCCCACCCCCCTCCCTCCTCCGCTAGATAATGCGTTTAGGAATCTGTAAATTACAATATTAAAGTGCACCTAACCACAATTATTTTCACATCTCATTCCTAAGAACCTTTGAAATGATATTTTGTCTCGGAGTTATTTCAGTTTTATTGATATGCAAATGTCCGGAATTTACGTCACATTATGAATAATGACTGACCAAAGAATGTAAGGTACAGTTAAATATCATGAAATAAAAAAGCTAAATGGTATTTTACATAGGTATGTAATCCTCCCACAACTCCAAACTTCATTTTAATGAATTAAACTCGATAGTGAATATACGATATACAAGCTTTTACTTTAAATCATGAATTATGCATTTGTGACGTGCATACCAAACAAACTGAAATATCTCAGAAAGAAAGTGAGCAAACGAAAATCTTCAAAATAAGTTATTACATCATTTCAGAAGTTCTTAAGAATGAAATGAT